TAACTTTGTCGTTGACGTCCTTTTAGAGATGACACTTTCCTCATCTAAATTTCCAGGAGTTGAACTTCTACCGGGGGATTTACTTGTTGACTTAGAATACGCCGATGACATAGTTCTCCCTCGAAATGCAAATTGTTGCTTCAGGATTGGGTTGCGTCGACACCCGAACTAGTGATAGGGAGTGAGGTAGTTGAGCGTGTCGACCGCTTCACTTATCTTGGAAGTCTCATCAGCCCTTGTGGTTCGGTGTGTGACGAAATCTCAGCACGGATATCAAAGTCTCGACTAGCTTTTGCCAACTTGCGTCATTTGTGGCGTAGGTGAGATATTCGTCTATCAACCAAAGGACGTGTTTACTGCGTAGCAGTTCGTTCTGTCCTACTTTATGGCGGTGAAACATGGCCAGTAAGAGTAGAGGATATTCGTAGGTTACTAGTATTTGACCATAGGTGTCTTCGAAACATCGCTCGTATATCCTGGGACCACCGAGTAAGTAATGCAGTTGTTATGAAACGGGTACTAGGTAAGGATGGCAAATCAATTGATGAAGTAGTGAAACTTAATCAGTTGAGATGGCTGGGACATTTGCTGCTCATGCCCGGCCACCGACTGCCATTACGTGCGATGTTTTATGGTGTAGGAATAGGTTGGAAGAAAGTTAGGGGCGATCAGACCAAAACATGGCACAAATCCATGAAGTCACTGACAAGTGGACTGAGTCATGTTGGTTGATGTAGACTACCTGGTTGGGGACCGCGAGACGATAGCAACCGATGGTTAGAGACCTTGAATGACATGGCTCAAAATCGTTTGCAATGGCGCAGGTGCATCCACTCTCTCAAACTCTAATCTTCTGAATTCTTCATGTCCTTTGTTTTCTTTCCCAATTTATTCCACTGGACTATAGTCCTTTAATAACATCATCAAACCTTAATGTCCCCTATCTTTACTTATACTTTCAGTACCTCTACCACTAGTGGATTTGAATCGATAACTGAATCTCTGTGCTAATGTGGTATGGCAACTCGAACTGATGTACGTACGTACGAAGTCCCACGTTGTTACTGACTGACTGACTGACATGAAATGTCCGGACAATATGAGAGACTGGGAGACCCAGTCAAATAGCTGCGGAAATGAGGAGATACAACTTGGCGGTTCTGGAAATAAGTGAAACCCATTAGATGCAAGCTGGATAAAAGAGGATAGATTCGTGAGAGATGCTGTTGTACTGTAGTCATCAAGAAGAAAATTCTTCGCACATACAACAACTTGCACTAGTGCTGTCCGAAGAGGTATAAAAAACATTTATATGATAGGAATCGCACGGGTCTGACATCATCAGAGCCTCTTTGAAAACGAAGAAGGTGGGGATAACAGCGAATGTTATCCAGTGCTATATGCCCATCGGTGAAAGCGAAGAAGGCAATAAAGGTCGGTTTTCTGAGAGTCTGGAGTCATTCTCAGAGGAGTGACCAGGAAAGGACCTGAGCATCCTGGTGGATAACCTAAACGCGAGAGTCGGAATGGGCAACACCGGATATGAAGATATCATAAGACAACATGAACTGGGAGTAACGAACGTGAATGGTGAGAGATTCCCAAATTTATGTGTCTTCAACAGAATGATTATCGTGAGCACTATATTAGCCCACGAACCCATACACAAAGCTGCATGGCTCTCACCGGGTCACACTACAGAGAACCAAATCGATCATATTTGCATCAATAAACTATTCGAAAGCTCAATAGAAAGCATGAAGACCAAGAAATGAGCTGACATAACTTCAGATCACCATCCTGTGGTTGCCAAGATAAAATTGAAGTTTGAGAAGCATTCGAGAGTTGGACAATAACACTACAAAGGTTTAATACAAACTTCTTTTGACATACTGACAAACTCAACGAATTCAAGATAACTCTCAACAACAGGTTCTAGGCCTTACAAGATCTGATGGAAAAGAAGAAACTACTATGGAGAACAACTGGAAAGAGATCAAAGAAGCACACAATGAAGAAAGTTGAAGGGGAACTTAGTAAACCAGAGCGACTAGTCAGGGACAAAGAAGGCAAGCCAATCACTGATATTCAAGAGCAGAGGAACAGATGGGTGGAACACATTGCGGAACTCCTGAATAGACCGGTACCACTGGACCTATCGGACATGGAAGCAACACACACAGATTTTCTTATAGCTGTCACTTCACCAAGGATCGAAGAAATCAGCATGGCCATCAGACAAACTAAGAGTGCGAAAGCGGCAAGACCTGACAATAGACCAGCCGAGGCAATGAATTTAGATTTAAAAGTAACTGCAAAGATGCTCCACGTTCTATTCAGAAAGATTTGAGAAGAAGAATAGTGTCGGCAGAGTGGAGAGAAGAATACCTCATCAACATACCAATGAAAGGAGATCTGAGCAAATGTGAAAACTACAGAGGCATTACACTACTGTCAGTACCAGGAAAGGTTTTCAGCAGTGTTGTTGAACCGGATGAATGACTCAGTAGACGCCCAAATTCGAGATCAACAGGTTGGATTCCGTAAAGATTGGTTGTGCACAGACCAAATCGCTACACTTTATATTATTGTTGAGCAATCAATTGAATGGAACTTGTCACTACACATCAACTTCCTTGACTATGAGAAAGAGTTTGACAGTGTGGATAGGAGAACATTATTCTTAAATATGGTGTGCCTAAGAAGATCGTCAACGTCATCTGGAGGACCGAGTTCAGACTTGACTAGTTACTTTCGCTCATCCTCCTTCTTCTGATAGTCAACCGGATTGGACAGCTTGTATGCATTTAGACGATTTGAACTTCGCAGATGACCTAGCCCTTCCATCACATATACAGAGACAAATGCAGGTGAGAACGGTCAGTATAGCAGCAGTCTCTACTTCAGTAGGCCTCAACATACACAAGGGAAGAATCAAGATCCTGAAATACAACACAGAGTGCAGCAACCAAATCACATTTGATGGAGAAGCTCTGGAGCAGGTGGAAATGTTCACGTACCTGACCAGCATCATTGATAAGCAAGGAAGATCTAATGTAGATATGAAGGCAATGATCGGCAAAGCAAGGCTAACATTCCTAGAGCTGAAAAACATCTGGAACTCGAAGCAACTGCCAACCAATATCAAAGCCAGAATCTTCAATACGAACGTCAAGACAGTTGCATTGTACAGAGCTGAAACTTGGAGAACTACCACAATCATCATCAAAAATGTACAAGTATTTATAAACAATTGTCCACATAAGATACTGCATGTCCGTTGGTCGAATGCCATCAGCAACATCCTACCGTGTCAGAAAACAAACCAACTTCTAGTTGAGGAGGGAATTAGGAAAAGACTCTGGGAGTAGATAGTACAAATATTGAAGAAACCATTAAACTGCATCACGAAGCAAGCACTAACTTGGAATCCTGAAGGGAAACGAAAAAGAGGAAGGTCAAGGAAAGAACACACAGGTGGAGAAAATGCCTGATATTTAATGAATTCAAATCTAAATTGGAACTGTGTGATGAATATAACAACAAGACACGACCTTAAGACACAGGAAAATAAGTAAACTTAGAGTGGTAGTGATCAGTCAGAGAAAAGCAATGATCGTTTAGAAGTAAAAATTAGAGGAAATTTCATTGTGGTTACCATAACATGAAGGAATTCGACATTTACTGACAAAAACCAGGTGGCCTGAGGTATCCCTACCAAGATAGAGAAAGAATGTATATTCAATTGAGACTTTTAACCAATTGCTTTTTGACCAGAGATTACTATTTCCTCATGGATCCATAAGGAGAGGACTAAAACTCCCGAAACGACCCAGATCGAGGACGTATCTTCGGGTGACCGACCCTAAGCCTCGTTCAAAACCACCGCTTCACCAGTCAGTAATGTACAGCGAGGTAGAGAATTGCTGAGAACACGTAAATCGTCTCCTAAATAAGTAACTCTTGTGAAAACTCACAGCTTAAACCATTTTACTAGCTTTACCAAGTCCTCTACGTTTAACGTAAGCGTTTTTCAGTTAACATCCCACCATATACAAAAAATACCTCAAAGACACTCATAATCAACCACTGGATACGTACATGTGCCTTATACACTGAAGTCAAACTTTTCCACTTGTCCTCATGCATATTCATTAATTAGCTGAAGAGCACCATAAGTATAAATATTGAGGTCTGTCGTACTATTTGATACATGATTTGGAAATCGAATTTTAACACGCAGTTTGGAGTGAAGCTTTAGAAGGGGTAACGCTTTGTAAGCTTGAATCATTATTGATATGGGAGAAAATTAACCTGAATATGAAGGAAAGTATGTAAAGGACTTGGTGACAATGGGATGGGAGAGCTGAGTACAGAGTCTGTTAGAGTATCATGGTTGGCGTCGTCTGTTCCCATATTTAATAATATGTGTAAGTAAGACCAAAATCTCGGATCTGTCACTGCAACATTATTTTAAAATTATATGTGTGCAGTGATTTTACTCTACCTAAGCAGAATGCTCCTCAACAGAGCCAACTTTAATTGTATTCTTCATCAATTCTTCTGGGAAATTTGCAAATCGTCTTTTTTTCTCTTATTGTAGATGCAATATGAAGTCCATATAACTTTAAATTCAAAATTCTCCTGTTAACCTCAGCTGTTTCCTGAGTATTTTCTTCTTTATTTGTGATCTTATATTTCCTAATGTTTACGGTCTACTACAGATGGGTGTCTACATACTGACCATCTGATCGGAATCAGTTTAAAAATAGATGTTAATAGTTGTTTTTACTGAATACTTCTAACCCTGTGCTTTCAAATTTATTTCAAACAATTTTCGAGTGATAGACATTCTCAGTTTAAGCATTTTTAGGGCTGGTTATTATACAGTTTGATCTATCCACTATTACTTGCGAATAGTATATTAGACACGATAAAATGAAACTGGATATAATGAGTTTAATCGATTTTTTTTCAAATTATTGACATTACTGTTTTAGATCAGAGCTAACGTTGGTGTTGGTGACATTATCCATCGAGCGTTAGATTTAGTTACTGTTGTGGTACCACCAGCCTTACCTGTTGTAATGACAGTAGGCGTTGTTCTGGCTCAACGACGCTTACTATCGCATGGAATATTTTGTGTCAATTCAACCGTGATCAATGTTTGTGGAGTTATCAATGTAGCTTGCTTTGATAAAGTAAGACTTTTCTCGCTAATTTCAGCTGCTTAGTATTATTATTATTTCTGACCTGCCTTTCTAAAGTTTAATATAAGTGACTATTTTGTCTGATTGTATGTGCCTTTAAGAATGAACCCATTTAAGTTTGTTTGTGAATACTCTGAAGATAAGGGGTTTGCTAGATTGACAACCACGACATATGATGTTCTTGCTATACCTATCTCCTCAGTGAATTTTGATTCAATTGTCTCTGGGGTCTTCAATTATGACCAGTTAAGCTAAATCTGTCTCATCGGTTAGAAAGTATTGTTACTACACATAATAAAGATATTATTTCATACCAAGCTTAGGAGTTTTGTTATTTCACTTTTATTATAGGAATTCCGTAATTATTTTCGAGTCGTATTGTCTATACTTAATACTTTTACCACCACTGATATTACAACCACTTCGGCCTTCACCTTGATAATTTAACGTCTACGCCGTTGCGGTGTGGAAAGTTGGGCCGATTCATATTTGTGTTGGATGTGCTACATTGCTTATGATTGACTATTTTAATGTAGTTACCTTAATGTCGTCCGCTAAATAAATTTTCTCCACATAACGATATTCAGACTTTTCTGGTTGACTACTGATTACGGAAATAACTGATGGCAGATGATTTTATTTGGGAATCACTCTTCTTTCAATACCAGGAAAAGTCTTCAACAGGGTATTGTTAAACAGGATGAAGGACTCCGTAGACGCCCAACTTCGAGACCAACAGGCAGGATTCCGTAAGGATAGATCGTGTACAGACCAAATCGCAACTCTACGGATCATTGTGGAACAATCAATTGAATGGAATTCATCACTCTATATCAACTTCATCGACTACGAAAAAGCATTTGATAGCGTGGACAGAACAACCCTATGGAAGCTTCTTCGACACTACGGCGTGCCTCAGAAGATAGTCAATATAATACAGAATTCCTATGATGGATTAAACTGCAAGATCGTTCATGGAGGACCGTTGACAAAGTCGTTCGAAGTAAAGACCGGTGTCAGGCAAGGTTGCTTACTCTCACCCTTTCTCTTTCTCCTGGTGATCGACTGGATCATGAAGACATCAACATCTGAAGGGAAGCACGGGATACAGTGGATAGCTAGGATGCAGTTGGACGATCTAGACTTCGCAGATGATCTGGCTCTTCTATCGCACACACAACAACAAATGCAGGAGAAGACAACCAGTGTAGCTGCAGCCTCAGCAGCAATAGGTCTCAATATACACAAAGGGAAAAGCAAGATTCTTAGATACAACACAACATGTACCAATCCAATCACAATTGACGGAGAAGATTTGGAAGATGTAAAAACCTTTACATATTTGGGCAGTATCATCGATGAACACGGTGGATCTGATGCAGATGTGAAGGCACGGATTGGCAAAGCTAGAGCAGCATATCTACAACTGAAGAATATCTGGGACTCAAAACAATTAGCAACCAACACCAAAGTCAGAATTTTCAATACAAATGTGAAGACAGTTCTACTGTATGGCGCGGAAACCTGGAGAACTACGAAATCCATCGTCCAAAAGATACAGGTGTTTATTAACAGTTGTCTACGCAAAATACTTCGGATCCGTTGGCCGGACACTATTAGCAACAACCTACTGTGGGAGAGAACAAATCAGATCCCAGTGGAGGAAGAAATCAGGAAGAAGCGCTGGAAGTGGATAGGACACACATTGAGGAAAGCACCGAACTGCGTCACAAGACAAGCCCTCATATGGAACCCTCAAGGTCGAAGGAAGAGAGGAAGACCAAAGAATACATTACGCCGAGAAATGGAGATAGATATGAGAAAAATGAACAAGAATTGGATGGAACTTGAAAAGAAGGCCCAGGACAGAGTGGGTTGGAGAATGCTGGTCGGCGGCCTATGCTCCATTGGGAGTAACAGGCGTAAGTAAGTAAGTAAGTAAGTAAGTAAGTAAGTAAGATGATTTTATTTGGTTTTATGGGTCGGAGATAAGAGGAATTGATGTTTAACGTACAAATCAGTGAATCATAGTAGGTTGTTGCTAATAGTGTCCGGCCAACGGATCCGAAGTATTTTGCGTAGACACCTGTTAATAAATACTTGTATCTTCTAGATGATGGCTTTCGTAGTTCTCCAAGTTTCCGCCCCATACAATAGAACTGTCTTGACATTTCTATTGAAAATCCTGACCTTGGTGTTCGTTGACAGTTGTCTTGAGTTCCAGATATTCTTCATTTGTATATATGCTGCTCTTGCTTACCGATCCGTGCCTCCATATCTGCATCAAATTTACGTGTTCATCAATGATGCTGCCCAAATATGTAAAGGTTTTTACATCTTCCAAATCTTCTCCGTCAATTGTGATTGGATTGGTGCATGCTGTGTTGTATCGGAGAATCCTGCTTTTCCCTTTGTGTATATTGAGACCAACTGCTGCTGCTGAGGCTGCTGCTACACTGGTCGTCTTCTCCTGCGTTTGTTGTTGCGTTTGCGATAGAAGAGTCAGATCATCTGCGAAGTCTAGATCGTCCAACTGCATCCTAAATGTCCACTGTATCCCGTGCTTCCCTTTAGTTGTTGACGTCTTCATGATCCAGTCGATCAACAGGAGAAAGAGAAAGGGTGAGAGTAAGCAACCTTGCCTAACACCGGTCTTTACTTCGAACGACTTTGTCAACTGTCCTCCATGAACCATTTTGCAGTTTAATTCATCATAGGAATTCTGTATGATATTGACTAACTTCTGAGGCACTCCGTAGTGTCGAAGAAGCTTCCACAAGGTCGTTCTGTCTACCCTGTCAAATGCTTTTTCATAGTCAATAAAGTTGATGTAGAGCGATGAATTCCATTCAATTGATTGTTCCACAATGATCCGTAGAGTTGCGATTTGGTCTGTACACGATATATCTTTACGGAATCCTGCCTGTTGGGCGTCTATGGAGTTCTTCATCCTGTTTAACAATACCCTGTTGAAGACTTTTCCTGGTATTGAAAGGAGAGTGATTCCCCTGTAGTTGTCACAGTTGCTGAGATCGCCTTTCTTTGGTATTTTGACCAGAAGTCCTTCTTTCCAGTCATTTAGTACTTGTTCCTCATCCCAAATCTTTCTGAAGAGAATGTGGAGTATTCTCGTAGTTACCGCTACGTCTGCCTTCAGTTCCTCTGCTGGAATGTTGTCTGGTCCTGCTGCTTTGCCACACTTGATTTGTCTGATGGCCATGCTGATTTCTATTGTTGGTGGGCCAACATCGGTTGGGAGGTCTGTGAGTGCTGCTTCGATGTTGGGTGTGTTCAGTGGGGCTGGTCGATTCAATAGTTTTTTGAAGTGTTCTACCCACCTGTTTCGTTGTTCTTCAATGTTGGTGATTATCTTGCCTTCCTTGCCTTTCACTGGTCGTTCTGGTTTACGGTGATTCCCAGAGAGTTTCTTTGTTGTGTCATACAGTTGTCTCATATTTCCTTCTCTTGCAGCCTTTTCCGCCGTCATTGCTAAATCTTCCACATATTTACGTTTGTCAGTTCTGATGCTCCTCTTCACCTGACTGTTTACTTCTGTGTATTCAGCTTGTGCCTTGGCTTCCTCTGCTCTTGTTCGGTTAGCATTGATGGCAACCTTCTTGCTCCTCCTTTCTTGAATCTTATCCAGTGTATCAACAGCGATCCATTCCTTGTGATGGTGCTTCTTTTGGCCCAGAAACTCATGACATGTTGAAGTGATTGCCTCTTTGATCCCTTTTCAGTTGCCCTCCATAGTAGTTCCTTCTCCATTGAGTAGATCATGAATGGCCTGGTACTTATTGCTGAGGGATATCTTGAATTTGTTGAGTTTGTCATTATCTCGAAGAAGAGCCGTATTAAACTTTTGTGATATTGTCCTCCCCGTTGTCCAGTGCCTCTTGAGTTTCAATTTCATCTTGGCGACCAGCAAGTAATGATCTGATGCTATATCGGCTCCTCTCTCGGTTCTCACGTCCTCCATCGTCCTCCTGAATTTTTGTTGATGCATATATGGTCGATTTGGTTCTGTGTGGTGTGATCCGGTGAAGTCCATGTGGTTTTGTGTATGCGTTTATGTGGGAATATAGTTCCGCCTATGACCAGTTTATTGAAGGCATATAGATTTGCAAATCTGTCACCATTTTCGTTCCTTTCTCTCAGTCCGTGTCGTCCCATGATCTCCTCATATCCGGTGTTGTCAATTCCAACCTTGGCATTTAGGTCTCCCATCAGAATAGTTAGGTCCTTTGTTGGGCACTTCTCGACGATTGACTGCATCCTATCGTAGAATTGATCTTTAGCGTCTTTATTGTAGTCGTTGGTAGGCGCGTAGCATTGGATGACGTTCATTGTAATCCCCGTTTTCTTTGTTTTGAAGGAGGCTTTGATGATCCTTGGTCCATGAGATTCCCATCCTATAAGTGCATTTTGTGTTTGTTTGGACAGTATCAATGCAACTCCTTGTGTATGTGGGGCATTTTCTTGTTCATGTCCGAAGTATAACAGCAGCTCCCCTGAAGCTGGTCGTTTTTGTCCAACTTGCGTCCAATGTGTTTCACTGATCCCAAGCACCTCTAGGTTGTATCTCCTCATTTCTGCAGCAATTCGGAAAACTCTCCCAGTCTCCCACATTGTGCGAGCATTCCATGTACCTAAATAAATGGTTGCTCTGGTTGTCAGAAGGGGCATCGGCCTCGTGACTTCCGAAGGAACTCGGCTTTCATCATGAGGCGTCATAACTCTTCTAAATGGAAGACCTTCTGACTCCCAGGGCGGAGTTTCAAAGGTTTGAATAATTTTTTCTGGTTAGCGTTTCTTTAGCGAGTTAGTTTTCTACGAGACGGGGTCGCTAACCCCATGCCCAACCCTTCTTGTTTATCCGGGCTTGGGATCGGCAGTAGCCCCCGGAGGGATTACGAGTTCACCTAATCTGCGAACGGAACAAAGACTTTGTGACCGAAGACCAATAAGTTAGCTATTCTGATGCACCCCAGCCTCGCTTACTAGAGAAAATAGTTCAAGTTCGAAACGGGGAAATATATTCCACAAGCAGCCAGAAGCACAGGCAATCCCTAACTGTCTAGTCGGAAATACATTCATTTATATATTGGTTTGTACACCCATTTTCGACTAATAATCAGAATAAATCACACAAAACAAATATTATACTGAGTAATCATCAAATTGAATTAAACGGAATTAATGTTGAATAAAAGTCATAATTAGTAATCAATCTAATTTGACTTTTCATCCCGTCATAACAGTGACACAGTTCAACTCAGACGCCTCAAAATCTTTCATGCTTAATTATTCTCTATCTATTTTGCCACTTACCTGTTCACTATTTCTTTATCTTCCATTTATCTCCAAGCTACGGGGACGAATTGATCACTAGGATCATGTTATAGTACCTTATTTTAACTAACTATCTCGGAATCTAGTTTTTTTACTTAACTCATTTTAATCCTAATACATGTATGAAGCTACATACTAGAGCATAATTTCAGTAGTATCTATAAACTTTCTAATGTGTATGAATGAGTAGTTACTACCCCCCAAATGCCGTGGTACGGTCGAGAGTGGTGACAGTCAGCTCTCCCTCTCGAAATACTCTCAAGTGGCCACGTGCATAAAACCAACACCAGAGAAGCCCTACTCACTGCCTTCTCGCGGAGCGGGTGTTGTTTACGAAATTGAGAGGACGAAAAGCAAATGTCCGGCGCTTTAACTTGGTTGGTGGACACTGAGAGTCCATCTAGAGGACTTAGAAAACCCCAATTTCAAACCAGTGGTGCACATGAGCTCCAGTATCCTGATGGAACGAATGGCATATGAACCAACCGTTGGTCACCGGCTACCATGGGACTTCATCTCCTCCTGACGTTGCTCCACTGCCTTGAGGGTCAGAACTTTAGGTCAAAGGCTCCTGGTGTGCCTCCCTAAGAAAACCACCTGCTTCGGTTTGGGTACCCGGGCAGTATCTCAGCCCTCACACAAATCGAATGATTTATGTGGCGAATATCTGTTTCGTGCATCCTTGTATCAGTTTTTGTGTTTCAATAATAATAATAATAATAATAATAATAATAATAATAGTTACTAACTAAATTTGCAATTATTTATTAATTAACTAGCCTATCAATACGGCGTTGTGGGGGTCGTTGAATTTCATTTAGATCATTAACCGATCTAAGTTTGACACTATTCAAAAGAAGCAGTAGATGGCCATTTCTTTCCACTATGGTACTCCTCATCAGTGCCTTTCCACAACAAAATGGTCGTTCATTGCTTTCACGATTTCAGTGGTGGTCTAACTAGGATCGATTTGTGATTTCAATGAATTCAACTAACCTATTCATTGTCGATTTTAACCTTATTTTGTCTTGAGTTTTGCTTTTTTTTAATATGCTTTTTAATACCATATGGTAGCTTTCTTGTCATATTACGTAAAGTGTTATGTAAGAGTTGTTAACTATTTTAGGTACCATGACAATCACGTTCAGTTAGCTACATTGATCAGAATATTAGTGTTTGTAATGTAAACACAAAGTGAGAAAATTTAAGGACAATGTTTTGGTCAATGACTAAAATGAACTCAACTATATATGTCTATTATTAACCCAACTTAAATCGATAATTAGATATTTTATTTTAATCGTTTCCTTAACGAGGTACACTGTCCAATTGTACTTCAAAAATGAAAATCATCAGCGTCTGAAATATTTCATCTACTAACAGATTAAAAAATAATGATCAGTTGAATCACCTCTTCACATTACCGAAACGACTAAGCTCCGGTTCACACAGAAAAATATTCATGAAAAGTGCTAAAGTGAATAGGATAATTATAGGAAAATGTAGAAAATGGAAATTAACCCTAGTTTAATAAAAAAAAACCAAGGAATCCTTCTCTGTTTATAATGCTTGTGACTTGATAACAGTGTCGAGGTAATCTGCACATATACACATACGCACATATACAATGAGAGACAGATCAATTACAATCTTAAACGTCAATGGGAAGATTCAAACGACCAATACAAGGTGAATTCAACTTCACCCCGTTGCACAAGCCCATGGTTATCTGGACTCGGTAGCTAAGTGGATAACGCAATGGCACTTGAAGCGAACGGTACTGGGTTCGAGTCCCGAAATGTGCATCAACTCTGGGATGCAGGTGCATCCATCTGACGAGTCCCGAGTAGGACTAAGCGTGTGTCCTGAATTCCACTGCCAGCTACCATCCATCTCTGCTTATCAAGAATAAATGTATATGTATTATTGATTTTGATTTTTTAAAAATCTAAATAATCACTGCGAATATCGTGTTCTTTGATAACCATACTGCCTTTGCTAACCTTTCCCATACATTTCATTATATATTTGCTCAAAATACGAAATGCTGTTTTTCTCTATATTTCATGTTCGTTTTATTGAGCAAATATTGACTACTCCGTAATCGAAACAGATACAAAGTCTGATTCATTAGTGATCAGTCATATATAATTCTCACTTAAGCAGGCCTCATCTATGGATTAAGGTGTTTTCCTTGTTCTTAACAGTAGTATTAAAGTGAACGGAGTTAGTCTGAATAGGACTGAACGAAACTTAAATAAGTTTTATGAAATTCAAATGGTAATATTGCTTCATTCTACAATATTGCCAACTAACGTTTTGACTTGTATTAAACTATATGGACTACCACATATGTAGTTGTTATCCACTTGAATCTAAATGGTCTGCTTTGTTGCATTTGCATACACCTTATCGTGTTAGATTGTTATAAAAAAATACATAATTTCTAGGGACTATTTCAATATTCTTTCTAACTTTAATAGTTTAGATCACGAGTCAATTCCAGCTAAACCACCATGGATACCTGGAAGCATTGGATAGCCGTCCTATTGTGGGACTGCTCAGCAGTGAGCATCCAAGATCCCGCCTCGCGAGATACGAACTCAGTACACTTCGGTCACTGGCGCGAACGTTTAACTTCTAGACCACTGAGCCGGCATCCAATGATATTAATGTCTAACTTCAACTAATCCACGAATTTCAGCAACACATCCACCCTTGTCTTCATTGAGTTACTGTCTCACAACAGACCCGGTTGAACTCCATTGAACAATGTTTCTCATTAGATCTCAAGAAAATACGTCTTGATATGTCCTGGTAAATTCACTGTCATGGACAGTTAAAATTAAACGAAATTGAATAATTTCATATCATGATTTTAACAATCAAAGTGTGTCAACAAATTCAAATAACTTAACCACCAATAATAAGTCAAGTCATGTAATCTGACACTAATCCAGTTACCTAATTTTTGGGGATTAGTTAATTATATATGACTTAAATATTTTTTGTGGCTTAGTGTTTCATGAAAACAATCCATCTACTCATTTTGCATATCACTAGTGTTTTATAAGTTGTTTTCATGTTGCTTACTAATAATGATTGTGTTTACCTTTCGAATTTCGGATTGGATCAGAATAAATATTGATTTTCTACTTATCTCTGTTAATTGTTGGATATCGTGTTTTTCCTTTGGATGTTACAAGCTAATGTAATTTTCCTCGATTGTGTTTGTTGGAGAACGTCAGTAATTCTTCCGAAATTCCCTTAGAAGTTAGTAAACGTCTCAACACACTTTGTCCTTCCGACGTTCAATAGAAACATTCACGAGGATTTTAGAAGCACGACTTATGATGTGTTTTATCCTGCCTAGATAATTACTGATTATGTCACCACACAAAGTTAAACATGCTTCGAGAACATCAAGGTCATCTATAAACCTGTAGTTACATCTATTTTCTGCACGTTGACCAACCTTGAAACTAGAGGTTCTTTTGATACTTTCCGACTGCTTTTTTGTGTTTGAGGTTCAAGTGAAAGAAATTCTTGTTGAGTGGGTAGCGGTTAGAAAGTCAGTATCAAGTATTAAGTTATTCAGTAATAAGGTTTGAGATCTAAATGGACTAGACATCTTTACCTTTATTTCATGTTTCTTCATAGACGGGTACTTTAACAGAAGATGGTTTGGATATGTGGGGTATTATTCCTTATGAAGATGGTTTATTTGGAGATCCGGAATTAGAACCATCAGAGTTGGATAATGGCCCTCTAATGGAATGTTTAGCGACTTGTCATTCATTGACATTGATTGAAGGCGTTCTGTCTGGAGATCCTCTGGACTTAAAGATGTTCCAGTCAACTAAATGGGTAAGGATTGTAGATGGTTCTAGTTTTTTTCTACTCACAATTCTTACTTCTCTGAAACCTAAATGTCGTAGTTACTTTGAGGTTGTTGTCAGATTTGCACATCATAACATGTGAACTAACGTACAAGATATTTTTGTCACAGGCACGAAGGTTCTGATTGTGCGTTCCCGCTGATAGAATGAGGGTTTGGAAAGTGGTCGGCTTTGAACGTAGTTGACTGTGACCTCACCGATGGTTTCAGCCATCTTTTGAGTGTTTGCTACTTATTGAAATCCAGGACGTTAGTCAAAATCAGTTTGCCTAGAAAATTCTTGAAGCAAGGAGATTCGACAACCTTGACCTGTTAAGCATTGTGGTAGATCCACATACAACAGAATGATCCTTAAACTGTATAAGACCGAATTTCCGGATTTTATTTCTGACAGTTATCAAATATATTTAGATAAAATACAAATTTGGGTACATTGAGGCGTATTTTCCAAAATATCACAGAAGCCTGTTTGGAGGATGTATGTGTATATGTATAGGTCTTCAACAACATGTTTATTGACGTAAACAAATTGCTTGTCGATCGCGTTTTCGTTTTGTGTTGTTTTTGTCAGGAACTCATTGAAGAAGCTGCTGATCACTGTAAATTTGAAATGGCTGTCCATACTATCGTACGTCCATTGAGTGAAACCAGTTTGACGGAAAAGATTTCTGGAAAATTCAATGGTGATGTAAGTTATGTCGTGTAGTTAGGTTGGTGTCTTTACATTACAGTTTCTTATACACTTGATAAAAATTGCCGACTATTCCAACCTGAGAGAGTCGACGTATGTTCTGATGATAAAATGTGGAGTAGTATTGATTATTGTGTTTGACATAGCGACTTCTCTGGTCCTTGTTGTGTGATTAATAACAGCTTATGCTATATTGTTTGTCATTTTAATAAGAAAGAAAACCTGTCCTACTGAACTGTCTTGTCGTTTGTAGGTATCATTACTAAGGTTTGATCATTTCGAATAAATTGAGCATTGGGTAGTTTGTTATGAATATATAATATATTTGTAATATCCCAATGATTAGAAAAACTAGATTTTCTGACATTTCGTGACTTAGTGTAGGCCACTTCTTCCGAGAATAAATAATCAAATTAAAATTAATCCGTTTAAATAGTACAACAGAACAACACGAATATTATTGATCATATTCGTGTTGTTCCGTTGTATTATTTAAAGTTGGATTAATTTTAATTTGATTATTTATTCTCGGAAGAAGTGGCCTACACTAAGTCACGAAATGTCAGAAAATCTAGTTTTTCTAATCATTGGGATATTACAAATATATTATTTATTGTCTTGTTTTTTATCAGTTCATTGTGAGCTTACGTCTCTAATTCAGTTTCGCGATACTCTATCACTATGTCGTAAGTTTTTAAAATTGCTCAAGGTCAGACTAAACGAAACTTGTAGTCATGCTAGGAAAATTATTTGTGAATATTCTTCTTGTAGTTAAGTCCCAAAACATGCAACTAGAAAAGGCTTGAATGTGGAATACTTTACTCTTCTTTGCAACGAGATGGTGATGAATTCCTAGGATCGTTGTTTATGTACACTTTGAATGTTAATGGGAAACAAGAGAGCTTATTGTATTGGAAATATCATCAGAATAAACTGGATTAATAAAACTCCATGAGAGACTGTTGGGGATATGTACAAACTAAGGATTCCATCGGAGAAAACTTAATCTTAATTCGTATGATATAACCTATAGATTAGTAAAGGTGCTCATTTATGTTATATTTTTTGAGGAGGGATGTCGGCGGTTATGCAAAGGCATTTGACAGTGTAGATAGGAAAACGTTATGAAAAATTCTTCGACACTACGGAGTTCCTGAGAAGATTGTCAACATTATCCCGAACTCATGCGAAGGACTACATTGCATAGTCGTACATGGAGGACAGTTGACAGATGCATCCCAAGTAACGACCGGAGTCAGACAAAACTGTCTACTCTCTCCCTTTCTCTTTCTTCTGATGGTCGACTGGATTATGAAGACCTTGACATCTGAGGGAAAACATGGAATACAATGAACAGCTCAGAACCAATTAGGCGATTTGGACTGTTCAGATGACCTAGCCCTCCTATGTTATGTCCCAATAAGAATAATGAGTGGTAATTTTTGGGATCCATCCGTGGACCAATATTATACGTACATTTTTATCCTATGATTGTTAATTAACTAAACTATTCATATTCATGTCTCTCTTATCATAAGCTTTATTTTAATCTATGAACTGTTATTATATGATTTCCCATTCTTGAATTATTCCGTCTATTAATCAGTACCTCCCTCATTCATAGCCACATTTGGCCAAATCTTGTACAAATGTTGTTTCCTATTTTATGGTACGATGTGGTCTGTTTGATTAGTATATAAATGATTCATATCACAGAGGCTGAGATTTTTGTTTTGGATATAACTGGCTGGGCTAGGCACGAAGCAGGGTCAATAAGCACTCTAGACTACTCCAAAGGGTTTTATGCGTCACTGGTCCGGTCGATAATTCACTGCTCCCTAATTGGCGATATCATTACGTATACATTAGCAAGGCACTCAGACCACAAGTTATAACACCTATCTCATACATGCGAAAAAATGCGGATGAAGACAACTTGTGTGGCAGCAGTCTCGGCATCAGTAGGCCTCAACATACACAAGGGGAAAACCAAGGTCCTCAAATACAACACGGAGAACACCAACCCAAACTGAAAAATGTGGAATCATTTACCTGCTTGGGAAGTATCATCGATGAACAAGGAGGTTCAGATGCAGACGTAAAGGTGAGGATTGGCAAAGCATGAACTGCATTCCTATAATTGAAGAACATATGGAACTCGAAACAACTTTCAACCAATATCAAAGTCAGAATCTTCAATACGAACGTCAAGGCAGTTCTACTGTACGGAGCTGAAACGTGGAGAACTACAACAACAACCATCAAGAAGGTACAAGCATTTATCAATAGCTGTCTACGCAAGATACTCAACATCCATTGGCCGGATACCATCAGAAACAGCCTTCTGTGGAAGAGAACAAACCAGCTTCCAGCTGAAGAGGAAATTAGGAAAAGACGATGGAAATGGAGAGGATATACATTACGCAAATCATCAAAATGCAACACGAGGCAAACCCTAACTTGGAATCCTGAAGGGAAGCGGAAAAGAGGAAGGCCAAAGAACACATTACGTCGGGAAATAGAAGCAGATATGAAAAGGATGAATAAGAACTGGAAAGAGCAGAAAGAATTACCCAGGACAGAGTGCTGATGAGCGGCCTACGCTCCCTCACGAGGAGTAACAGGCGTAAGTAAATCTTTAGTGATCAAACTTATGTTCAAGTACTGTTGTTATGTTTCGGCATCCTAAAACTTATTGGAATTAAGTATCATGGTCACTACTTGCACTTATAGACTTACGGTATCAAATTTCTTAACATAATTAATATCTGAATGCAACGCGGATGATTTTGGTAAATAATATTTATAGTGTTCCGATAGCATAGATGGATAGGTAGCTTATTCCAATAGATTATAATACTTTTAGAGTTTGAGCTTGCAGGCCAGCTGAGTAAATTACGATTTCTTTCTTTTCTCTGTTTTATAAAAATGCTTTTTATTGAAATCGAATATCCTGATTACACACACTTGTAGGACATTCCATATGAAGTGGGTATCTTACGTCAATTTCCATTCAGTTCTTCATTACAACGTATGTCTGTGATTACTCGTGCTCTCAATCAAAATCATTTCAACATCTATACTAAAGGTGCACCTGAAACTATTGAATTATTGTGCAGATGTGATACTAGTAAGTAAAATGTGAAGATTGTCAATAATAATTTTTTCTAATGTTAATACAATCGGTCAGTTATATGCAACGTTAAACCTATCACAAACATATATCAACACAAGTTCCTACACCATTTTAACACTCTGAGACGAAATGATAAACATGTATACCAAAGTGGTATTAACATTATGTACAATATTGTTCAAGAAAGTTTCTTGAATTCGTTTTAGAGCTGAAGTTGTAAAAGTAAATAAGCAATTGAATGTATGTTGACCTTTATAAGCGATTCGGAGTCATTCCACCTAGCATCCTTAACCACTGATTGTGCCGACCAGGTTGTATGCACCTACCAACGTGTCTGAGACCAACAGTCAGTGACTTCGTGGACTGATCGTACTTGTCGATTTGACAGCCGCTGGTTATACTACCTGAAATCTTACATCGAAGTAGGAGGTTGTTTTGCGGCTTAAGACATGTTACAACTACCTTGGTCGATAAACGTTCATTGATTACCCAGTACGTAACTATTGCATCGTTCGCTCGGTTGTCGTAAAATAAATAAACCATGATTCGAAGAGATCTATAATCAAATACTAGTAACCTGTAAGACATCCTCTTTGAGTAGCCACGTTTCATAGCCATTAAATACCGCGAAACAAACCAGTGCTCACTATACTCTTTTCTTGTCAAAGACTGACCTATCACTTACGCCACAGGCGACACTTGGTGATAAAAGCCAACTGACCTTTTTGATTTCGCTCTCAAATTTCGTTAGACGCCAACCCACGAAGATAGATGATATCCTTCGATAAATGAAATCGTCGGGACACACTCTACGACTTGACCGTCTGTGATCAGATTAAAAATTGACACAGGCCAATGCTGAAGCAAAATATTTGTATTATACGTTTTGAAACAATTACTGAACTGAATGGAATTTTTATTTCTATGCGGAATGTTTGTTTGTTCAGCAGTGTTTCATTTAGTTAGAAATTCTAATTGTGCACAAACATAGTTATACATTTTGCATATGAAATAGTTACATTCTGATTGACGTCGTACAAGATCGATGTAATACATTTGTCGGTTGGTTGTTTGTAACTCTCACTATTTAGTGTAGTCGCTACACTTAGTTAAACGACACTCAGACACACTGTTCAGACTTACAATTTCCTCCAGTAATTAGGATCGTTTTCTTGCTCAATCAAATGATTGGTTTATTTGTCTAGTTTTGCTTGTATATTGATCTGGTGCCAACAGCCGCGGTAACTCTAGGTCCAAAATAGTATATTGTAGTTGCTTCAGTTAAAATGCTCGTAGTTGGATCTGGGTCGTGCGGTCGCATGCCGTTGCTTGTTCACGGTTTTGGGTACGATCAGGATCGGTGTTTTGCTCGGTGTAGTGACCTGTCGACATGCTTCCGGATGCCTTTAAACGGGTGTCGAGAACGGACGGCATCTCTACTTTGGACAAATTTGAGTGCTCAAAGCAGGCCTATGCGCCTGAAAATTCTTTCATGGAATAATGAAATAGAACTTAGTTTCTGTTTGAATGAAGCATACACCTGGCCTGGTGGTATTTACCCTAAGCTTCAGTGGTTATTGATTTGAATGAATTGAAATTTTTTATTTAATTTTGGTAAGTTGTATGCAGAATAAATGCATACTTCAGAGTTTTCTTTTCAAGAAAAAAATAGATACATAATTCTGTTTACCACATTATCTGGTACTAAAATAATTGTCTATTTCTCTCCGATGACCTCCGTTTTGCCTGATTAAAATATTTTTCTTTTCTTAATTAAACTTTCCATTTGAGTCCGGAATTCTTTCATTCTATGAAAAAGTTTATTATATGTTTTTATTAATATAGTGTTGCCAATATCTTTTGAAATTCTGAAGATTCTTTACTATATTTTTGCGTTTTTTCTAGGCCTTGTACTTTTGTTGTTATTGTTATTGCTATTTCAACTTGTATAGCTACTGTGCTGTTAATTTTCCTTGTTTCTTAGATTATTTAATTAGAAGAGTTTCAATATTCTCTTCATTTGGTGTATTGTTTATAAGTTTTAGCCGAGATTAAAGTATAGGGAACAGACTAAAACAACAGCGAAGAATAAAAGGCAATAATATTACAAATTGTAAACGAATCTTACATAATTATTGAATTTATTGAATTCCTTTCCATGTTAATATGCTTGTTAATTGAGAAAGCAACGATATAAAAACTCATCCTTATAGACACAAGTTCTTCGTTTTCTCTAAACCTTCATAGGGAACTAAAAAGACTTTAATGAGTCCTTTCTTCGATGTTGGTCAAGATTAAGTAATTAGGGTAAGGATTGGAGGTTTAGAATTAGGATTTTTACCACAAACTTACATTAACTATGATGCAACAATTCTCTGTACAAGGTATAGTCCGATTAGTTCGTCCATAAAACACGATGTCACCAGGTTAGGATTTAGTTCAGGATTAATAGTTTTGGGTTAAAATTTAAGGGTAACGTTGATTTGTTTCTATACTTTACTCTTACTATAAAGACAAATATATTTCGTTACATTGTCATTTTTCGTAAATGTACAGTCATTAGCGAAACATTGGAACTGGAATAAAATGTCAACTAAAACCAAAACGTTAAAAGTTTTTTCTCTTCATCGGACAAATATCTGGTTTATACGGGCGTTTATTGGTAACTTTGATTCTCTCTTAATCCTTATATTAAAATACAGTGTTTTATTCAAATAAATGTCAACAGGTTCAACTGATGTTGCTTTCAGATTACTCCCTGATAAAGTTGTATATCAGTTGTGTTTGTTAGGAACTTCAGTTATTGTTTTCTTCTGTTCTTTAGTTCCTAGAGATTTCCATTCTACTCTGTTGGAATACACACGTGAAGGTTATCGAGTTTTAGCGTTAGCTTGGAAACCATTGAAAGCAACCTATACAAAAGTTTTGCACGTATCTAGGGAGTGTGTTGAACAGAATTTACGATTTCTTGGTCTACTGATCATGGAGAACCGTTTGAAACCGGAAACAACTCAAGTGATTAAAACTTTAAGATATGCCAATATTCGACCTGTAATGGTGACTGGTATGTTTCTTTCTCATTGATGTGATTGTTTTCAATGTGATTTCTCTTGGAAGTGATCTTTTAGATTGTTTTCTCTAATAGTTACTAACATCAGTCTACATAGATAGACGTTGAGCCTGAAATTGTAATATTCTGAATCTGTATAAATGTACTGGTCACCTTCAAAGTATATTATTATTATTATTATTATTATTATTATTATTATTATTATTTTATATCTGAACCTTAACCCTTGGATATCGAATTAGTCTGTCACGGTCAAACTAATAAGCTACACGCTTGAGTCTGTTATCTGTCTAAGCCCATATTTAGTGAGCAGTGTCTCTCTAATGTGGTGCTTTTTTGATTGTCTTATTCCAATAATTCCAGTTAACCATGATATCATTATGGTGGAGGATTGTAATGCATATTAAATTGAAATAGTTTGCGTGATTTTCTTTCAATTTTTGTGACTCAATTGAACTTCGTAAATTAATAATTCTTGTTAATTACAGTTTATGTTTGTTAGTAATATCAATTGACAAAATGTGTTGTTGCTCATCATTCAACCTTCTTACTTAGGTGATAATATGTTGACTGCATTGTCAGTAGCTCGAGATTGCGAGATGATCGATGAACTGGATCGTATTATTCTTGTGTCTGCAAAACCACCACCATTTCCTCCTCATGTTCAGTCATCTAGTCCGAATGATTCTGTGACTTGTTCTACCAAAGTTGATCTACCAAGTGATCAACAACACAGTCATACTTCTTCGAATCATATTAGTTTACCATTTGTTTCGTTGACACAGTCACAAGGAACAAGAAGCAACAATAGACCACGTACACATTCAAGTTTTAATGCAGCAAATTGTGTATTTGAGGAAAACTTCTTCAATCAACAATACGATTCATTAGTTGAATTTCATTATGCTGAAGATTTACACAAACCAGTCACTGAAGTGACAGCTACAACTGAAACAGGAACAACGAGAAAATCTCATAGACCTCAGCCTGTTAATAATACTTCGACTGAAACTGATGTTGATCCGCACACGTTCTCTGTAAGGAGTGGTAGGAAATCTCGAAAACTGATGCATCGCTTATGTGAAGATGTTCCATGTGTGTAAGTTCATATGAATTCGTTTGTGAAAATCTGCTACTAAACCAATATTTATTTTCCCATTATGTAAATGTAATCGCTTTCATCTAGACTGTTTAGAAAACCCTCTAGGAACGACGTCATCAGTGATCATTCTACTGTGTATTCCTTATCTATGTATCTGCTTTATATTTGCCTCTTAATTAATGTAGACCTTGAACCATTTAGGAGGTAATTTTTCCATCTTCCTATAGACTTATATATTTACCAAACAACTACAAATACGACTGAACAGCCTGAGTAAATGTTATTGCTTTTGTTGACCAACATTGACAACCAGATCCTATCTCTACCTTACTTGTACCTTGAAATCTCTGAACTTCAAGTTGTATGCTGACAACTCAGCACCTGGATTATTCATGAATAACATCTTGAATCAGTTGGGATGTTCTAAATTTTGATCTGTATTTAGTTTTTGACTATGTGTATGGAGTACGTAGTCAACCATACGATTACTTACTTTCCTATGTTTCAAGCCATATTTCGATATGTAAGTTGTTTGTATTATACAATTATGCGTTCACAGATACTGTTAAAAGTTAGTTGAAAAACAGAGCAGTTCGCAAGTAACGATGATAATTCAATCACTAATTTCAGAAGTGTTTACTCAACCTTGAACTAATCTGGATCGTGTGACATCTACAACATAGTAAATAAGGATTTATTGTTTAGATGTTCTTGAAATTACTAGAAGTTATGTGATCAGAAGTCATTGGAGTCATCGCGCGGATTTCCGTTCACCACTGTATGATAGTTCGAATTTAAGTAACTAGAGGCAAGACGTTATGATATAAACATCCTGACTGTTGAGTACTATAGGTTTGCATGAATGATGTCTCCCCCGAAACGATGAATTCATGATTAAGAGATTCCAGTTTGATGTATTAGGTGGCCAGTTCTAATTCCGTTGCACATTACTTCGTTAATGTTTGCCACAAACTGTATGCTGAGTACGTTAATCATTATTCGACTGACCAGCTTCTTGAATTACGTTTACTGAAAATATGTAAGTCAAGGCAACAATTCCCTGGTGTTCTGGTTTAATCTGGTTGGCGTTTTTTAGCAACTGTCAACCAATATCAAAGCCAGGAACTTGGAGAACTACTACAATTGTCGGGAAATGGAAGCATATGCGAAAAGGATGAATAGCAACCGGAAAGGATTGCACAAAATAGAGTTGGATGGTGGGCGGCCTATGCTCATCCGCGAGGGTTAACAGGCCTGAGTAAGTGGTGTTCTGTTTTGCAGCAGTGATGTTAAACGATTCACAACTCAAATGTTTCTCTATCCATTAATTGTTTATTTTTTGAGGAATACTTGTAAATCCATGGTAGTGTAGCTTCAACTGACTCATGATCTTAATCATTGAAACTTGGAAATCTGTTAAATTCCACGATTATCGTTTGTGTGTATTTGTTTGTTTTAATTTGATTTTCGTTCAGTTCACGGGGATGTGAACAGCATTCCTCAACGTCTTCAAGTCCACTGATAGATATAACTTCGGTGCTTAATGTTTCAATGAATGGTCACCTTCATTCTTCTTCATCCGATCAACGACAACTTCACCACTATGGAATAGGAAACAGTGGATGTTATTTGAAAGATGATCTGCATTCGGTATCAATTCGTCTTTTGAATCCCACTCATTCTGTATCTATAAAGATGCTCGATCGACCTGATTTCCACCTGGCTATGTCTGGTAAAACATGGGCTATCATACGAGAATATTATCCCTGGCTTATACCAAAGGTGAGTAATAATGGGATTATCAATGTATATCGAAGATAGTTTTAAAATGGACATGATCCTTCGACTAATTCACTGAGGTGAACTCGTATTGCTTAGTGATCGTTAGTTAAGTGTTAAGTTCAAACCTCCTATCATTTGTGTAGAGAAATGTATTATTCACACAGCAGATGTGTTTTATGTAACTCAAGCATTATGTGGGTTGATAAGGAATGATATTAAACCAATAATGGACATATTGTTATCCATTATGATATAATTTTTATTGTATAAGGGATACATTTAACAAAGTATTGCCAAAATGTATGCTAAAGTTCAAAATAATGTATGACGTATATACACGTTCAGCTTTGTTTACTTGTCACTAGACGATGTTTAGACGTTCGTTGTTTGAAACACTTCATTATTGTAACATACTTGATTGCTTGATCTTTAATTTTGCGTACTTTCTTATACAAAATACATTCAATGTACAGTCAAAACAGTGTGATAACATAGTGTTGTGGCATAAACAAGTTTTATGCTGTTTTACTGAAATGGAAAACGCACCCAATTTTCAATTTGATATCCACACATCTTACAGTGTGTACATAATTACATTTACGTCAATGTAATACACAGTATTTTTTCAACAGTACTAACTAAATAAGTATTTTTCAGCAAAATTTGGATAGGCGAAACGTCGTTGTATTTCATTAGTCTCACGATTTTCAGACCTATTTTGTTTGTTCTAAACTGATCTGATCTCAACACGTATTTCTGAAAGGTGATCTGTACTACCGAATGCTTGGTAAGGCCAGGAGAAGAAGTCAAATGATAGTCTTTTACTACACTTTTCTGCATACCATTTCATGTTTCTTTAAAGATTTATCAACCTTTAAATATATTTTTGGTTTCGAACCGTGAGCATTTCAATTTTAACAGCTCTGTTGTGTTTAGATTAGCTTCTAATTACTTTTCCTCTCTCTCTCTCTCTTTTCCTTTCTCTGTGTGTGTGTGTTTCTCAGCTTGTAGTCAAAGGTACCGTGTTTGCTCGTTTTCGTCCGGAACAAAAAGCTCAACTGATTGAATCACTTCAATCAGTTGGTTATTTTGTTTCAATGTGTGGTGATGGCGCTAACGATTGTGGTGCATTGAAAGTAGCACATGCTGGAATTGCATTAAGCGAAGCTGAAGCTAGTGTTGCCAGTCCTTTCACGTCGAAGCAACAAAATATTACTTGTGTGCCCACACTTATTCGTGAAGGTCGTTGCGCGTTGACTACCAGTTTTGGTGTATTTAAATTTATGGTTGGTTATTCAATGATTCAATTTTTCTCTGTTATACTTCTATATTATGTAAGTTTGGTTTTGGTATTTCTCTTTACCTTCTATAGTTTAAACACAAAACGAAGAATATGCTTTTTTAATAAATGTTAGTCTGGTTCAACAATTGTTATTGGTGATGATTGTTCATTTTCATTGTTTATATTGCTTTCATTGTTTACTCGACCATCGCTGCTACTTTGACGTGTTGGTCGGACTTGCTTATCGTGATGGAGCAATCGATCTATACTGGCTGGAATAATCGCTCTTCAAGGTCCCACCGTGCCAGAAAAGTCGGTTGAAAAACGGTAAGACTGAAAGCAGCAATTCCAAGGTCCGAGGACGAAGTCGTACTGCTGACTGTACAGAGGTGTGACGGCGGTTTGTTGTTTCCCTCAGACAACTAGGATAAGGGCTATACTTTCCCATAAAGGAAGGGTGAAGTTAGAAAAGATTGACCGTAAAAACGCACACCTCACCTTATCTCACGAATATCCGTCCGTCGATAAGGTCCTATCAAGTACGGAGCTAACACGAAAATTACCTACAAAGAGGTTGTGTGTGACCGGCCTCAGGCAGTTGTCCCTTGGGCACCGTGGTCGAACTCTGAGGTCACTAAGATTAACTCGGACTCACTTTCCTTTTCGGGTACCTATAGAAAAATCGTCCCACTTTGTGGGCAATCGGGAAGTGAAAACCGCTCTCATACCTCTAACAGCACTCATTTCCACCGTATTCATAATCAGTTGCCCCTCCAATTGCTATTATTCCTCCTAACTTGACTATCGACTCTAAACTTCCTCTTCAAGTGTCACCACGGCGAACAATACTGTCCCGCGTCTACTGAAACCTTTGTGCTGTTCGGCTAAACTGCTCCGTAAGAACTCGAAAAAATATGGATACAGATCGTTTCTCTTTTGTCATTTCTGCCCACGCTCCCACTGACTGCAGCCCAGATGAAGTGGAAGATGAATTTTACAGAAACCATTCTGAACTTCTTCAAAAAGCCAAACACTCAGAAATAGTACTTGTAGCAGCTGACTTTAATGCCCAACTAGGTAGCTTAAATCAAATAGAAAGACGATTAGGTGGGTATTTCGGTATTCCGGCTCAAAGAACAGATAATGGTGACCGTCTGCTGCAACTGCGCTCAGATAATCGTTTATTTCTAAGAAGTATTGTCTAACAAAGCGACCCTCTCCACCAAACCAACGATGAGCCATATTGCCATCAGTCATCGTTGGAGAGGCTCGGTAGAAGACTGCCGCTTGTTTTGGAATACATTTTTAGACTTTGATCATACTCTAATAGGAGCACGTATTTGCTTACACCTCGCTGGACACAGAAAATCCACATTAAGAAGACCCATTCGAGTTGAACTCAGCGATGAGGAAGCCAAAGGTACATTCCGTGAACAACTGAACTCACACTTAGGCAATTTCGAAAACGAGGCTGACCCAGATATTGCTTGGAAATATACACGAACAGCTGTGGAATCAGCAGCAATAATGATTGGTGATTTGAACCAAAATGTTACGAAAAACCATTGGATTTCTACTACATCCATTACACTGATAAACTCATAAACCTATCCCATTAGGCTCCGACACACGATGACAAGTGGGAACAAATCAGATCTAGGTTGACCAAAAGTCTACGGCACGATCGTGAACAGTGAGATGGTGGAGCAGATTTGTAGCTCAGGTGGATGATTTTGATGGAGTTTTGTTCTCTGAGTTCGATGGTTTGGTCTTGGAGCTTTCGTCATTCTTCTGAGCGACATCATCAGCACAAACTTCAGATAGAAGTGAAGCGTTCGGATTTCTCCATATGTGGTTCACAGCTTTTCCTGTACACTTCGACGTTGATTGGTTCTTGTTGACCTTCAATTAGTCATTGCCATCTGAATTCGCTACCTCAAGTGATGTCCGGTAATGCTGTCTACTGTCTCTATTTTCGTCCAATTTCATCATAAACCGGCTTCTGGAAATATCTTTCTCGTCGACTGAATTTTCGAGGATCGGTCTCTTATCAGGAAGTCCACTTATTAACTTCACATACGCAGATAACATAGTCCTGTTTGGTAAAGACGCTTATAAAATGCTGGTAGCATTGAGCAACAATACTAGAATGTTTGGGAGGCGTTTCTCCCTCTATAAAGACAGGTAGTTGCTTCAGGACTGGCCTGCGTCATTACCTGAACTAAAGATAGAGAGTGAAGTAGTCTAACGCGTCGACAAATTCACTAGTATTTGATCACAATTTTCTTATAAATGTTGCTCTCATTTGCTGGGATCACCGGGCAAGTAATAGTGCGGTTAAACGCAAGGTATTATATAATAATGACAGCCTCCAAATACCCTGGTATGGCTGAGAGTGTGGTGGACCCGCCCTCTCCCTCGAAATGCTCTCACACGCCCCCGTGTATACAGCCTCTTCCAGGGAAGTCCTACTCACTACCTTCTCGTAGCGGGGGTGTTGTCTACGAAAATGAGAGGACGAAAAGCAAATGTCCGGCGCTTTAACCGGATCCCAAACCAATGGTGCACATGGGCTCCAGTATCCTGATGGAACGAATGGCATATGAACCAATCGTTGGTCACCGGCTACCATGGGACTTCATCTCCTCCTGACGTCGCTCCACTGCCTTGAGGGTCAGAACTTTAGGTCAAAGGCTCCTGGTGTGGCTCCCTAAGAAAACCACCTGCTTCGGTTTGGGTATGTGGGCAGTATCACAGTCCACACACAAATAAAATGAAAATGACGATATTTACTAAAAATTCTATTCACGCTTCGATTTACAGTCAAACAATTCATATTATTATTATTATTATTATTATTATTATTATTATTATTATTTACTACGTCATTAATTCACTCTCTTTTATTCCCACTCTGTCTATACTTATTTTTCGACTTATACAGCAGCTCGCTTATGGTGGACATTCGGCTCTATCTAAACGTTCTCGTGTCACTACCTGGTTGAAAATTGTATGCTACCACCGAATACGAATACTGAAGCAGTTTTTCTGAGACCACGTGCACCATTCAAACTGGCTGCCTTCAACGTTTGCACATTTATGCAGGTCGGACAACAGATAGGGCTGGCTATGTCTTTGAAAATTCTTAATATTGAGGTTTGTTGTCTATCCGAGACCCGTATTCAAGACTCTGGTGAAGTACTACAAGTTCGCTCTCCATCTGTCGCTTCAAAAAGCTTGTTTTATGTGCGTTTATCCAGGGACCCTGTGGCATCTTCGTCTGGTCTTGCTGTCGTTGGTGTCGCACTAAGCGCTAGAGCTGAGGCAGCACTAATCGATTGGATCCCCATTAACAGTCGGTTATGTGCTGTTAGATTAGAAAGTTCCATCAAAGTGAGAAGAAATCGGCGTGAGAAACGATGTATTTTCGTCATCTCCTCCTATGCCCCGACAGATTGTAGCCCGGATGCAATCAAGGATGAATTTTACTATCAGTTATCTGTTCTTCTCCAGAAAGTTTGTTCGACAGATATTGTAGTACTAGCTGGAGACTTGAGTGCTCAGATTGGGCGTCTAGGCACAGAAGAGAGTCGTTTAGGTGGCCGATGGGAACTTGTTGGTCTCAGGACGGATAACGGGGACCGTCTACTGCAACTGTGCACAGACCACCTGGCGTCCTCCCTCAGCATCTCAAGCCTGGAGTCAGATCGATCACATCGCGATCAGCTACCACTGGCGTGGTTGTGTAGAAGAGTGCCGCTCCTTTTGGAGTACCTATCTGGATTCTGATCATGTCCTGGTCTGAGCCAATCTCACCTTACTTTTCAGTGGCCAACGAAGTGACCGCCACCAAAGGATTGGTGTTAGCAAGTTGTTTGCAACTTCTGTTGCTAGTAAGTATCAAACAGAGCTAGGTTCAAGTCTAGCTAACATTCCACCGGAAAGTATAGATGAGCATTGGTTGCGACTGAATGACGCCATCGAAATGGCGAGTAAAGCCGCTTGCGGCTTCGTGAAATGTCCCGCTTATAAGCACTGGGTTTCTTCTGGTTCCTTACAACTCATTGAAGCCCGCCTGTTTACTCCGAGTGACCGTGAGTTTAACCACAAACGAAGGCTGTTACGTAATGAAATTGGGCAAACCTTGCGTGAGGACCGAGAAGCCTAGTGGTCAGATCGTGCTAATGAGCTGGAAGCAGCAGCTAAATCTGGTAATTACCGGAAGCTCCTTAAAATAATCCCAGCCACTGGCAGCAAGAAGTCTGGTGTGAGAGAAACAATCTGCGAGGAACGCCAATCACTAACATCCATCGACGTCTTGGATGATGGGCAGAATTATTCGAAGGGCAGTTCAACTGGAATGCTGCTCCGGCAACATCGATCAAACTGTCCTGCCCTCCATGGCCGGTGACGACTGATCCACCAAATGAGGCGGAAGTCCGCAAGGAACTCCAACTCTTGAAACGTTACAAATCACAGGGCTCAGATTACTTACCTCCGGCTCTTTTTAAAGATGGTAGCGACTTTCTGGTTAAGGAACTGACGACGTTGTTTACAAAGGTCTGGGAACTAGAGAGTGTCCCAACGCCGTGGAATGAGTCGATAGTTGTCCCTATCTTTAAAAAGGGTTCACGTCGTTCCTGTAACAGCTATCGGAGGGTAAGTCTACTTCCGATCGCGTCCAAGCTATTGGCTTCCGGGAAAAATTGACTCGCGAGGATGTATTGATCATACTACCCCCCACCGCCAAATGTTAGAATACCGTCATACTTATCAAAGGCCAATAATCGTAGTGTTTCTTGAAATCAGGGCTGCCTTCGATTCGTTGGACAGGACTGTTCTCTGGGTGTGCCTGAGAAGTTTATTAACATCTTAAATGCCCTATATACAAACACCTCAGGTACAATGAGGGCATACAACCACCTTTCTCCATTGTTCCATTCAAGCAGTGGAGTTAGACAGGGTTGCCCAATCTCACCATTCCTCTTCAGCTTTGCCATCGATGACATTCTGGAAACAGCTCTGGCAGATGTAAGTAATGGTGGTGTGGATCTGTTGCCTGGAGAAAGACTTCTCGACCTTGAGTATGCGGATGATATTGTCTTACTGTTCGAGAATGCCTAAGCCATGCAATCCACACTTAATCAGTTGGTAATCAATGTCCGTAGGTACGGTATGTGCTTTGCACCTTCGAAGTGCAAAGTACTTTTACAAGACTGGCAGGATTCTAATCCTGTACTCACTCTGGATGGTGAGCAGATAGAAGTAGTTGGGAATTTCGTGTATCTAGGTAGCTGCATAAGTGCTGGTGGTGGCATGAGTGATGAGATCAATGCACATATAGTGAAAGCCAGAGCGGGTTATGCCAATCTAGGCGATCTTTGGCGCCTTCGTGGTGTTAGTCTGGCTGTGAAAGGTCGGATGTACAACGCGTCGGTGAGAGTAGTTCTACTCTATGCTGACAGTACATCTACCTGAGGTTTCGACATGTGACTAGCAAGTAGAACATCCTTCAAATCGTCAGAACTGGTGAGTGTAGCATGAATGAGTGAGTCTAACTGAGAGCATAACTGCACATCAATATTTATATATTCTCCCTGTAACTACCGAACTGCCAACATTCAGTCTGAACTCAGAACTAACGGATCAAACTTTATTCGATTAAACCAGACTACCTTCTTCTGTATAACTTACGAAGCGTTTTTGAGTTACTCGTATTAAGTTTTATCAAAACACAAACTCGGTGTTCAATTTAAACGGTTCTAATTTAAAAAATAGAACAAATTATATCAAAAATACAAAATACCTCAAACGGTACAGCCTGTGCTATACAATCAAAAGATTCTCTGATACAAATTAGCGTGATAAACAACAAAAGAAACAGTTAATACAGAAGAGTTCAATACCTGAGAGTCAATAAAAATATTCTCAACAAGATGGGATCAAATATCTATTTACAGGGATCCCAGCAATCTTCCAAGCAGACAGTCAAAGGTTAACATTCACATACTGAACCACGCCGTGACCTTGAGCTTAGTCAAACACGACCTTCTTGTCAATAGTCCGGCAACACGCAATGGAAAATTAGGTAACAGAAGGTACGTTTACAATCAGTTATGTTATAAAAGCTCAGATGAGGAAGACAAACGAATATAAAATGTGGTTAAAAGGAAATCTGAATAAAGGTTAAAATAAACAACAGGGAGAAGAGACAAAAAATCACAGTACGGTCCAACAAAATGCTGTGGAGGGATTTTCAGCGTTTTCTTTCCGTTACAGTCCCAATGGTTGTAAACACAGACAATCAATAATAACTTATCCACAATTATTTTACACTCAGAAATATATATGGATTTTTTTAACATCCACACATGATTTTACGTAGTTGATTAAATGTCTAAATTACAACAAGTATACAAATAATAAAAAAGTTAAATTGGCTTACTACAGTTGCATACACTCTTTGTCTTCCCTAAAACCGTGAGATTAAAATTACTTCGTACGTTTCTTTCTGCGAACTAATTCTTTCTCCTTGCATCATATTCTTCTATGGAATTTTTAAAAATATACTACTACCATTGAAGTAATTACTTCTATGGATTTGGTATTCATGTTGTTGTGCTAATGAGGTATGACGACTTGGACCGATGTATTTATATTCCTGGTCCTACGTCGTGGATGACTTGCTTTGCTTCGACCATTGCGTCAATATTATCATACTGTTTTGACTTGAATGAGGTTTAGTCAATGAATATATGACTAATCATACTGAGCGAATTCACGATCTCCGTTGAATGCATCTTGGTGGAAATAATGATGTTGTGATGTGGACTACTTATATAGGTAGTGTTTAACGGTGGTCAAGCATAGAATGTATTTCAGTAGAACATCGATAAGGAAAGAACGGTAACGGAACGCAATCGATATGAGAATGCATGAACAATGAAATCTGATATTTGCAAAAGAAACAGTCAAGTTTGAGACAATTGATTGATATTTTGCAAATTCGGTATTTACTGTATGGTTCTCAGATTTTAGTCAGAAGTTCTGTAATTTCGTGTTCAACTACATTCGATTGTGCCAGATGATGTTCTTGTTCACTATAATGGCAATTGTTCTGCCGAAGATTTAGCTTATATTGTCTCACTGTGGAGTAACAATCATATCATCAGTTAATAGTGCATAAGATGGAGTGATAAAAAGCAATTGGAAGAAATATTATCGATTAATGCAATGTGGAAATCGATCATTTAAATATTAGTTTGAGATTCGAGGAATTCAGCTAATAATCACGTTGAGGAATGCGCGCGCTCAAACGAAAAAGCTTGAAGATTACTCCACCAGGAGCACCTCAAAGTGGTGAATGATTTGAGTAATCCGAGTGAATTATATTTTAAATCTGTAGAAGATGGAATAGGGACAGGGAGATCAATGCATGGTGGAAACCGTAGAATTTATTTCTTTTCAAACAAGGACGTCAACAGTTTAATCGGTTTGAAGCTCTCGAGCTTGAAACAATATGACCAGAAATATGGAAACTGGAATACTCACCATGTTGATGATCAAACAGTACCAGAAAATAGAGACTGAGAGTAAGTTGTGCTTTGTTTATGTGATCAAAGGAGGTTGACGACCATTTGGAGCGTTGAACAGAAACTTAGAAGCTATGTCGTGGATAAATACAAGCCTCTGCTGCAAGTTTTCAAACTAACAATTTTATTAAAATGTAGTTGGGACATACCTTTGAAGAGTAATTGCGAGATTCCACTCATGTTGTTCGGTATCACGTTAATGTTTATAAATGAATAGCAAACGACTTGGCAATGCAGCTTTCGAATTATTTGTTTAAAAGCAAACCAAGATTAAACATTTATCTTTGCATTATCGTTTAACTAAAAATCATGAACGTCTACAGAACGTATTTCAAGTTTATTGTACACTTCATATTACACATATCGCAACAGAAAATTCAGTGATGTATCTGAAACGTTTTTTTGCTGTGCTAATCAATCGGTCTAAGGACCAGTTTCTATAAGCAGTCACCACAAATATTTCTTAATTAGAAATGATGATTGAGTAGAGGTGTCAAACTCTATTATCATTTATAAAAAATGAGTTATTTTAGGACGATGAACCAGCATTCCGTATGGTTGTAATTCAGTCGTTGTGACCTACTTTCATAATTATAAACTTTAGTAGATGCTTTCTGTACTGATATATTGAATTATAATGTCAAATGACATGATAAATGCATTATAAAGAACAAATTCGTTACGTGTTCAACTTTCAATCTTTTTCTCTGTTATGTATCTTCAATACATCATATCATGTTTCACATTCCAAACATAGATTTATGTACTGTTTGTGTAGGAGACGGTGATGCTACCAGGGTTCTTAAGTTGACGTGATGGAGTAGGATTCCAGCGAGCTACTACTTGCTTGTAAGCCAAATGCTCTAACCGATAAACTGCTGTCTATGCATCATTGGAATTGGAAAAAGTATGATTGCTGGTGTAAGATCAATTGTTCTTATCTGGGAGTTGAATAAACGGTTGTTTTGAATACAATCGTAGTAGTAATAATAGTATTAATAGTGCTTACTAGGGAGGGTTCTCAACCACCAGTCAAATTCTTTCCCTTTTGTCATCTACTGATTCCTTTATGAACACGTTTTGAATCCATTTGACGAATTCAAATAGATTGACACTGACGACAAATAGCGAGAAGACTTGAGTTTGATTGTTGTATGATTATACACTTCCCTTCCAACCCAGTGTTTGACTGGTCATACCATGATTAACGTGCTGAATGAACTCATCAACCGTGTGCCTGAATTATGGCTAAATATACATTATATTTGCACATTTATTCTCATTTTAGAATGTAAATCAAGACAAATTTTTTAAGTAGGTATTAATCGTGTTCAGTTGAATATTCACTTCTTTTTACGAATCGTAATTGTACATGAAGTGTTTCGTTTATCGAAAGATAATGTAATTTGATAACGAAGCAAAATAATAAATTTATTAGTTGAATTCATGAGTCAATTGAAGCTAAACCCCTATGGAAAACCTGAAAGCACTGGACGGCCGTTTCGTGCTAGCATGGGATTCCTGAGTAGTGCGCACCCACTGTTACCATAATATCCACAAAATGCCTCTCTGAAAATAATAAATTCCGATTACAAATTAAGCACTTGTTTTCTTTGTTGTACTTGGTAGTTGTAGTGTTACTTTATTTACAATTTTTGTTTTTCATTTTTCACACCAGGTTAGCAGTAATATTTCTGACCTGCAATATATGTTTATCGACTTCTTTGTCATCACCACTTTGGGTATCACGTGTAAGTTGAGAAAGTATTTATTTATTCACTGACTAGTGTATGTCGGCGTTCTGATATTTATTCTATCTGTTTTTAAAAATACTATTATTGGAAGTTTCTTTGATGAATTTGTTTGTTTTTCTTCACTACCCATCTTATTGGTTTTCTGTTTGTTTGTTCAACCGTCGGAGAAAACTGAAAATATTTAGTGGGTTACTTACTGTTACCATTATTCTTTAAACTGTGTGTTTGTGTATGAATACCATGGTGGATTTCAAAGTTCAATTTAAACAATTTGTCGATATGTTTCTATGTATTTTTACTGTATTACGTGAATGTGAGGACATGTATAATATCAGGCGTATTCTTCAATAAGTCGGTAACACTTGTGCAAGAAATGTTGAAAATTGAGGTAATGTTGAAAACCTAGGAACACTGGATGTTCGTTTCATTCTAGTATGGGGCTCCTTAACAGTGCTCATTCATGATTCTGCAACCAATAATCGAACGCAGGACACTCGATCACGAGCGTGATATGGAAAAACATTCAACGATCTTCTCAACCCCATACCGATAGAAAATTTCGGTCAAATATTCTCCTCATCTGTTGTGTTGGATGTTTAGATGTAGACAACAGAGAATCTGAGAACTCACTTTTGTCTACTTGCAATCCTTGTTTTCATCATGCTGACAACATTCACTTGATTGATTTTTCAGACGGATAATTTATTCTGATCTACAATTGGATATTTCACTTAAAGCCTCACGAATAGATGACCTTACTCGAACTATCGCACCTTATGTGGATAAGCAGATTGATTTGTGCTTCCTTAATTTCACCTTAGTTTCTCTCTATCCATTCGGAAATCATTGAAAATTCACGACTACAACTGGGTTTGTTCAGCAGAATTTCTCTCTTATCGAAAATAATCCCTGGAATATATTCATGTTCTAAATAGCAGACACTGTCTACTTATCGCGGTTGAGTTCATTTTATTTTTGAAACATGAGCTAATCCAAGCCACATTATTATCTTTCATCGACACGTCACTAAATTCAATTGGATTTGAACATGAACTTAAAAATTGTATATGATTGTCAGTGTTCAGGTAGAACGACTACTCTGTTGTGATAGATCTCATTGAAGTTCATGTGGTAAATACGAATGTAATTACTTTCAACGGCATAATTTCTCTATACTGCAATACTGTTGAATGCTGTTCATGTTGGATTGTCGATTGTCCTGAGAAGTCGATTAAACATGTACAGCAGATATACTTTTACATGACTACCAGGTAGGTAACATTAGCACGAAGAAGACTGAAAGAGAACCGTGTCAAGTTGAGACATAGTTGCAAAACGAGAAAATCATTTATGTGATCTGATTGGTGTAGAACGTTTGTTTGTATGCAAAACGTCAAGTTTCATGAAGCAAAGTGTTTTTCATGCAAGTGGTCTAGCCTAAATTATTTAAATGATACGATGGTAATTCTCCGTAATTTCATGAATATTGTTTACTGGTTATCTTTTTAAAAAAATGTATTGACTTTTTTCATTAGTTGGTTATACTTCGGCGTATCCTCGTCTCTCGGTGGAACCTCCTGGGATGCGACTAGTGTCAACTGTGACCTTGTTATCATTGGGTTTGCAGTTACTCACTTGTGGTCTTGTACAATTTGCAGTCTTTGTGTTTACTCGACTACAACCATGGTTAGTGAATATGTTTCTATTGTTGTGATGTTTATCTGTAGCATCCGTTTGTATTGGTTGTTGCGTTAATATCTGTTTTAAACACCTATTAGTGCATTAACTTGATAACTGTAATGAAATCGATGAATTATGTTGCTTCGAAAATTACTTAAGACTTATTGGAATATTGCTAAAGGAACATATGGACTACTGTTATTTACTCGTAACATCTTGTTAGCGATGACCCGCTAGGTAGTATTACTGTGTGGACAGACTTTTATGGATTGATTTAGCGGTCTTTTCATTGTAAAGCATGTTGTCGCTTCATGAGACTCTTTTGATTACTATCATCATTATCGTTTATTTCTTTGAAGGTATTTACCACTGTTTACTTATCATGAAGATTATGAATTAAAAAATTACGAAAATACGGCCATATTCTCCGTATCTGTCTATCAATATATTATATTGGCTGTTGTATTCTCTAAATCTGCACCATATCGTCGGTCAATTTTTTCTAATCGTAAGTTGTTTCTTTCTAATTATTGTCTTATATTGTCCAAATTATTAGTATTATCATTATTATTATTATTTGTTTGATCTCTCATAATTGGATTGGTATTTTAACAATGAATTTGTTTTCTAACGACTGTTATCAGCTAGTACGAAACCTAGGTTTAGTGTCAGAAGATAATTTATGCGATGACAAGTTATTTTGATGAAAAACTAGTTTCCAACTTGATCGATATAATCAATGCACAAATGCACTGACTGTATACAGATGGTAGAAGGTAATTTGTATCACTCACATTTCACATGATAGTGTTAGAGGAGGAGGAAATTCGATTTTATGTTTGTCTCTTGTGTGGTGACTTACCATATTCCTAAAATTGTTCGGTGACCTTCGTTTGCCAACTAAGGCTATTGTATTTTCGTATAGATGATATGTTCATTTCATTGTCGATCTGATGTGTAAATCAGGACAGTCGCAACGAAATTGAAATGTGTGAAGCTTTTGAATAGTAGCTGTCTGGAGTTATTAGCTCAGTGCATATCGCATTAAGCGTTTGATGCGTAGGCATTGTGTTCGAGTCACAACGTGAAGATCAACACTGGGATGCAGGTTTATCCAGCTGAAGAGTGCCATGGAGGACGGAATGTGTGTTCTAAATTCCACTGTCAGCCACAATCGTCCTATTGTATACAACTTCCATAAGTTCTCCTTGTCTTTACTATTGATTGGGACAGATAACAGTATGGATTTCTCTTTATGTTCACAATCATATTATGTGTATTGTTGCATGTAATAAATGGTTATATTATGCATAAACGTCAAGAATATGTTGATAATTTTAGGTAAATATTTTTTCACTGTGGCTGTAACTAATGCGCAATTGTTATTTTCTCTATGACTTTCCAATTCTATAGATTTATTCGTTGTCATCCTTATTGCATGTATTGCCGGATCACTATACTTAACATCTCATCCAGCTCGTGTGGTTCGAAGATTTTTCGATGTAAGATTTCGGTGATCTTATTTGAGGACGAAGCACTGTGTCACAGTTATTCTTATTAGGTCGCAGACTGATTATATTGATTTTCATTGATTAACAATATACTGGCCATTCTATTTTTTAAACTATACGCATTCTCCGCGAGACCTGGAGTGAGGATCGTGGTTTAGATTCCCGGAGTGTTTATCGGTACGAACTTTTGAGATGTCCTCTACGTGGCTGAAACGGCTATCGAATGCCTCCTGGTTTTCAGTGATACTCCAACCAAAGTCGATTTGTGACGAATGCAATATGTAAAAGAAGTGGTTTTCTGCTTCATTGTTTTCATATATTTCTAGGTTACCACAGTTTTATTTTGTTATCCTTTTGTTTATTGATGCAAAGCTTAATCCATTTTCTATGGAATTTTGTCCTAACAATTCTTAACCACAATTATTCCGTTTTTTCCCAATGAGTGAATGAATGATTGTCTGTTGGACATAGCTGGCAAACATTCTTCTGATTGTTTAATTTGAGCAAAAGTGTGTATTTCTAACTGATGTATAGAGCTAGAGTTCCATTGGCATCATCATTAATGGTGTTATATTGCGGATGAAACTAACTACACCTTTTCCACCACTGACTTCCTAGTATTTGTTGTGCAAATGGTTTGAGTGTCATTACTAGACAGGAGACTCTTCTGAAAGACATTGCACAAAAGGGTTGGACAGTTTTCTGAATATTTGTTTACATTTCTGATAAATTCTTTGGGTTGTATGTGATGGTTTTGTTCTTGTTATTTTATTTCCAGCTGTGTCGTTTTCCTTCAGTTTATTTTGTAATAATTCTTCATGGAATAGTATTGGGGAATTTACTATTTGGATATATTTTGGAATCGATCGTTGATGGTGTTTCGTTTCGACAACGAATACGTCATATTCAACATGCTTTATTTCCCAGGTATGTCTGTCTTGAATACCTTCCATTTTGTTCAATACTGGTTGATGTCTTCCATACATTTAATGAAATGCTTCAACTACTTAATTCAACCAAACTGTCATGATAGGTTAATTCTGAAATGCAGATTATTTCATCGGTAATTAGTAGTATAATATTTATTAAGTCAACAATACGACTTAAAGCAATTGGTCCCGTTTATCCATTTCATTAGAACGCTAAGAAGACAGAGTTCGAAATAATACAGTGCAAATGCATCACATTATGCTGCTATACTCCGGTCACGAAGAGGAAAATGCTCCACACACTCAGGGAGTTGCTCTGATTCTATCCAAAGTAGCACGAAATGCACTGGTAGGATGGGAATCTCACGGATCCAGAATCATCAAAGCATCATTCAAAACAAAGAAGGAGGGGATCACAATGAACATTATCCAATGTTATGCACCCACCAATGATAGCAACGACGACGTTAAAGATCAATTCTATGAGAGGCTGCAATCAATCATAGAGAAGTGCCCAAGAAAGGACCTCACCATTCTGATGGGAGATCTAAACGCCAAAGTCGGAATGGACAACACCGGATATGAAGACATCATGGGACTACATGAACTGGGAGAGAGGAATGAAAACGGGGAAAGATTTGCAAATCTGTGTGCATTCAATAAATTGGTCATAGGCGGTACAACATTTCCACACAAACGTATACACAAAGCTACGTGGATCTCACTGGACCACACCACAGAGAACCAGATAGATCACATTTGCATCAATAAAAAGTTCCGAAGGACAATGGAAGATGTGAGAACCAGGAGAGGAGCGGACATAGCTTCAGATCACCACCTGGTTGTGGCCAAATTGAAACTGAAGCTAAAGAAGAACTGGACAACTGGACAAACAGCACCACAAAGGTTCAATACAGCCTTCCTTCGAGATACTGACAAACTCAATGAATTCAAGATAGCTCTCAACAACAGGTTCCAAGCCTTACAGGACCTACTGAAGGAAGAAGAAACTACTATGGAGCACAAATCGAAAGGTATCAAAGAAGCATTAACTTCAACGTATCAAGAGGTTCTGGACCTCAAGAAGCATCATCATAAGGAATGGATCGCTATGGAAACACTGGACAGGATCAAAGAACGGAAGAACAAGAAAACAGCAATTAACAACAGTCGAACACGAGCACAGAAAGTCCAAGCACAAGCTGGGAACATAGAAACAAAACAAGCAAGTGAAGAACAGCATTAGAGCTGACAAGCAAAAATACGTGGAAGAACTAGCAACGACGGCGGAAAAAGCTGCAAGAGAAGGAAATATCAAACAGCTTTACGATACAACGAAGAAGCTTGCAGGGAAATACAGTAAACCAGAGAGACCAGTCAAAGACAAAGAAGGAAGACCAATCACTGAGATTCAACAACAGCGCAACAGATGGGCAGAGTACTTCGAGGAACTCCTGAACAGGCCGGCTCCAATGAATCCACCGGACATCGAAGCAGCACACACAGATCTCCCTATAAATGTCAATCCACCAACGACAGAAGAAATCAGAATGGCCATCAGACAAATCAAGAGAGGGAAAGCAGCAGGACCTGACAATATACCAGCTGAAGCGTTGAAGTCAGACATCGAAGTAACTACAAGCATGCTTCATCTTCTATTCAAGAAGATTTGGGAGGAGGAACAAGTGCCGATGGATTGGAAAGAAGGATACCTCATCAAGATTCCAAAGAAAGGAGATCTGAGCAAGTGTGAAAACTACAGAGGCATTACACTACTGTCAATACCAGGTAAAGTCTTCAACAGAGTGTTACTGAACAGGACAAAAGACGCAGTAGACGCTCAACTTCGAGATCAACAAGCTGGATTCCGTAAGGACCGGTCGTGCACAGACCAGATTGCGACACTACGGATCATCGTCGAACAATCAATTGAGTGGAACTCGTCACTCTACATCAACTTCATTGATTATGAGAAGGCATTTGACAGTGTAGATAGGAGGACGTTATGGAAACTTCTTCGACACTACGGAGTTCCTGAGAAGATTGTCAACATTATCCGGAACTCATACGATGGACTACAGTGCAAAGTAGTGCATGGAGGACAGCTGACAGACGCATTCCAAGTAAGGACCGGAGTAAGACAAGGCTGTCTACTCTCTCCCTCCCTGTTTCTTCTGGTGGTCGACTGGATTATGAAGACCTCGACATCTGAGGGAAACTACGGCATACGATGGACAGCTCAGACCCAATTAGACGACTTGGACTTCGCAGATGACCTAGCCCTCCTATCACATACACACGAACAAATGTAGATAAAGACAGCCAGCATAGCAGCAGTCTCTGCATCAGTAGGCCTCAACATACACAAAGGGAAAACCAAGGTCCTCAAACACAACACGGAGAACAGCAATCCAATCACTCTTGATGGCGACTCTGGAAGACGTGGAATCCTTCACATACCTGGGAAGCATCGTCGATAAACAAGGAGGTTCAGATGCAGACGTCAAGGCGAGGATTGGCAAAGCTAGAGCGGCATTCCTTCAACTGGAGAACATATGGAACTCAAAACAACTTTCAACCAATATCAAAGTCAGAATCTTCAATACGAACGTCAAGGCAGTTCTACTGTACGGAGCTGAAACTTGGAGAACTACAACAACCACCATCAAGAAGGTACAGGTATTTATTAATAGCTGTCTACGCATGATACTCAACATCCATTGGCCGGATACCATCAGCAACACCCTTTTGTGGGAGAGAACCAACCAGCTTCCAGCTGAAGAGGAAATTAGGAAAAGACGATTGAAATGGATAGGACATACACTGAGGAAATCATCAAACTGCATTACGAGACAAGCGCTAACTTGGAATCCTGAAGGGAAGCGGAAAAGAGGAAGGCCAAAGAACACATTACGTCGGGGAATAGAAGCAGATATGAAAAAGATGAATAAGAACTGGAAAGAGCTTGAAAGGATTGCCCAGGACAGGGTTGGACGGAGAATGCTGGTGAGCGGCCTATGCTCCTTCACGAGGAGTAACAGGCGTAAGTAAGTAAGTAAGCATCACATTGTTCAGATCAACTCGTGCTCTCATTGTTCTATCAAAACAATACGATCATAATGTTGTAGAATCTATTGCAACTTGAAAATCAATCCGTATAACGTGGATACTGTCTATTGTAGAGAGAAACGCTTATCATCATTACTTGCATTCCAAGTAAAACAACCATTGAAAATCTCAGGGATTAAATGGTATACTAAGTAAGGAAAATCATCATTTCCAGTATAGAGTGGTGCAGATTGTTGAATAGATCTAAGTTAGACAACCATTGAAAACGTGAAAGCACTGGCTGACAGATTCATCCTAGCATGAGGCTGTTCAGAAGTGTACATACACGACCTCTCAGTTGGCAATCGAACCCATGACATTCGGTTTCACGCTCAAGCGCCTTCCATGTAGGCCACTTTGACGGCGATTGATCTCACAGCCATACATTGTTTTACCTATTATTGCTCATCTAATTAGCCGAACGTTCATATCATTCATTTTTCACACTTCAAAGTCGGTAACAGTTGCCATATAATTAGCATTTTCAGCAAAATGATATGTTCTGTCGACTAGTTGGATAGTACAAGAATTGTGCCGGCTGTTTAACTAGTTAAAACTTTTGAAAATCCTTGTTTGTTTTGTGTGTTAAACAAATACGTGAGATTGTTCTTCTCTTATTGTTATCCAATAGACATGTTTCACGTAAAGACTATGAACACATTCGTGATGAAATAGATAGATTAGCTGGAGTGTGGCCACCAATTATACGATCTGCTAGTGTACAAGCGTTACCAAGTGAGGTGTTCAATGAAAGTTATGTTGTTGGACAAATTGCACAAACATCAAGAAAACGCTATAACTCAAGACTTTCAACTGACAGTGAATCTGATGAAGATTGTATTCCAGTTACTTCTGAGAAGAACGCTGTCCTGTGTAATAGTTCACGCGATAATAATATTATTCATGAAGAAGTACAATTACATTACAATGCTCAATCTCCATTTCAACCGTCTTGTGTTTTTGATACTGTACCGAAAAGTGCTATGGAAAAGTCATTTAACAAGAAACGGACACGTTCTACTGTAAGTTCACTACGATATATTACCTATTTTCTTCATATAGTATAAACTGTAGTTTTGTGTGGTGGTGGATAAGTGGTTCAGGTGTTCAACTTTCAACCACTGTTTTATTTCTGAGTCCCGCTCCACGCAGATAAGGTTGAGGAGCCGGGTGATGTCGTAAGCCTCCACACAGAATGTGACTCAAAACTAAGCACACTATGTTCTCCATTATGGTATACCCGAGGAGATCGTCAACATCATCTGGAATTCATACGACGGGCCACACTGCAAAGTCGTACATGGTGGGCGGCTGACAGACACATTTCAAGTGAGGACCGGAGTCAGACATAACTGATTACTTCCGCCCTTCCTCCTTCTGTCGGTTGACCGAATTATGAAGACCTACATATCTCAATGTGACTCAAAATTGAGTACACGAATGTATTTTTTTTTAGTTACACCGTCAGTAAACTGCAGTTGGTTGTTGGTTCATTCAATTTCAGTCCTCATTCTGACTTTTTTTACTGTGAATGGATACCTTTAAAATTGTACCTTCTACTCAAGAATATTGTTGTTGAGTCACACACAGATATCATATTTTGTATAACAAACAATCACCAACATTTTTAATGCTCTTGAGAATAATTTCCCAACTAGTGTATGAGAATCAAGAGTTTCTCGACTTGTCTTCTCTTTTCTAGTTGGCGTTTTGTAGACAACTCGTTACGAGGTTGAAAAATCTATAAGAAATCTGAAGCATGAGAGGGCAGCTGGTCCTGACAGCTTTACCCCTGAGATTTTTAAGGATGGCGGTCCAGTATTAGCAGCGAGATTGACTGAAGTCTTAGGTAGATTCTGGGAACTGGACGTAATCCCATCTGACTAGTCTCAATCACTGATTGTTCCAGTCTATAAGAAAGGACAAAAGTCCTACTGTGACAATCACAGAGGAATTCGTTTGACTAATATAGTGTCTAAAATATTAGATTCAATAATACTTCGACGTCTAACCAAAGCTCGTGAAGAGCAGACTAGAGAAAACCAGGCTGGTTTTCGACCTGGACGTGGTTGTATAGATCAAATGTTCACACTACGCCAGATCCTAGAACATAGACACACATTCAGACGCCCCACAATGATAGTATTTCTCGACCTTAAGGCGGCATTTGACTCTGTTGATCGTGAGGTTCTATGGCAGTGTTTGTCACTGAAAGGAGTACCAAAGAAGTACATCAACCTTATAAGGCTCTCTACTCGAACACAACTGGTAGAGTGAGAGCTTATGGTGAACTGTCATCAGAATTGATTACCTCAAGTAGTGTTCGTCAGGGCTGTCCACTCTCTCCATTCTTGTTTAACTTTGTCGTTGACGTCCTTTTAGAGATGACACTTTCCTCATCTAAATTTCCAGGAGTTGAACTTCTACCGGGGGATTCACTCGTTGACTTAGAATATGCCGATGACATAGTTCTATTTGATGAAGACGCTGACAAAATGCAGAGTCTGCTGACCACTCTAAGCAACAATGCAAGCGGCATGCGATTCTCTCCCTCGAAATGCAAATTGTTGCTTCAGGATTGGGTCGCATCGACACCCGAACTAATGATAAGGAGTGAGGTAGTTGAGCGTGTCGACCGCTTCACTTATCTTGGAAGTCTCATCAGCCCTTGTGGTCTGGTGTGTTACGAAATCTCAGCACGGATACAGAAGGAATGACTAGCTTTTGCCAACTTGCGTCATTTGTGATGTAGGCGAGATATCCGTCTATCAACCAAAGGACGTGTTTACTGCGTAGCAGTTCGTTCCGTCCTACTCTATGGCACTGAAACATGGTCGGTAAGAGTAGAGGATATTCGTAGGTTACTAGTATTTGACCATAGGTGTCTTCGAAACATCGCTCGTATATCCTGGGACCACCGAGTAAGTAATGCAGTTGTTATGAAACGGGTACAGAGACAAATGCAGGTGAGAACGGTCAGTATAGCAGCAGTCTCTATTTCAGTAGGCCTCAACATACACAAGGGAAGAATCAAGATCCTGAAATACAACACAGAGTGCAGCAACCAAATCACATTTGATGGAGAAGCTCTGGAGCAGGTGGAAATGTTCACGTACCTGACCAGCATCATTGATAAGCAAGGAAGATCTAATGCAGATATGAAGGCAATGATCGGCAAAGCAAGGCTAACATTCCTAGAGCTGAAAAACATCTGGAACTCGAAGCAACTGCCAACCAATATCAAAGCCAGAATCTTCAATACGAACGTCAAGACAGTTGCATTGTACGGAGCTGAAACTTGGAGAACTACCACAATCATCATCAAAAATGTACAAGTATTTATAAACAATTGTCCACATAAGATACTGCATGTCCGTTGGTCGAATGCTATCAGCAACATCCTACCGTGTCAGAAAACAAACCAACTTCTAGTTGAGGAGGGAATTAGGAAAAGACTCTGGGAGTGGATAGTACACATATTAAACTTACTTACTTACGCCTGTTACTCCTCGTGAAGGAGCATAGGCCGCTCACCAGCATTCTCCGTCCAACCCTGTCCTGGGCAATCCTTTCAAGCTCTTTCCAGTTCTTATTCATCTTTTTCATATCTGCTTCTATTCCCCGACGTAATGTGTTCTTTGGCCTTCCTCTTTTCCGCTTCCCTTCAGGATTCCAAGTTAGCGCTTGTCTCGTAATGCAGTTTGATGATTTCCTCAGTGTATGTCCTATCCATTTCAATCGTCTTTTCCTAATTTCCTCTTCAGCTGGAAGCTGGTTGGTTCTCTCCCACAAAAGGGTGTTGCTGATGGTATCCGGCCAATGGATGTTGAGTATCATGCGTAGACAGCTATTAATAAATACCTGTACCTTCTTGATGGTGGTTGTTGTAGTTCTCCAAGTTTCAGCTCCGTACAGTAGAACTGCCTTGACGTTCGTATTGAAGATTCTGACTTTGATATTGGTTGAAAGTTGTTTTGAGTTCCATATGTTCTCCAGTTGAAGGAATGCCGCTCTAGCTTTGCCAATCCTCGCCTTGACGTCTGCATCTGAACCTCCTTGTTTATCGACGATGCTTCCCAGGTATGTGAAGGATTCCACGTCTTCCAGAGTCGCCATCAAGAGTGATTGGATTGCTGTTCTCCGTGTTGTGTTTGAGGACCTTGGTTTTCCCTTTGTGTATGTTGAGGCCTACTGATGCAGAGACTGCTGCTATGCTGGCTGTCTTTATCTACATTTGTTCGTGTGTATGTGATAGGAGGGCTAGGTCATCTGCGAAGTCCAAGTCGTCTAATTGTTTCTGAGCTGTCCGCCTGTAGCTCTTCCAGAGTTACTGCCGGTCTCAAGCCCGGGTAAAGGAGGAGGGTTTGGCATGGGGTTAGCGTCCCTATCCCGTAGAAACCTAACTCGCTAAAAAAACGCTAACCAGAAAAAATAACTCAAACACATATTGAAGAAACCGTTTAACTGCATCACGAAGCAAGCACTAACTTGGAATCTTGAAAGGAAATGGAAGAGGCAGGCCAAGGAGCGCGTTGCATTGGGAATCAAAGCCAGACATCAAAAGAATGAACAAAACGTGGAAACAATGGGAATGGCGAGGCGACGATAGAGTTTACTTGATAATCGTTGTCGGCAGTGCGTATTCGTATAGAAGGTAAGATGTGTAAGTAAGACCATCAAATTCACGGACCTGTCACTACAAAATTGCCTGAAAATTAAGCGTTTTAATCTACCTAAGCAAAATGTTTTATCAACAGAGACAACTTTGATTGGGTTCTTTATCAGTTCTCCTAGGAAGGCTTGAAATTTTCTATTTTCCCCTTGTATGTAATCGTACTGACCATGTGCATTTTCGGCATGTCTGTTTGTAAATTCAATGAATTGTGTGACATTCGTATTTCTGTCGAATGACCACGTGATGTACTTTTATTCTAACATAATACATAGTTTTGTGATTTGCTTTCATTATAGAGCAGCCATAATCGCCATTCATTTAACACTACGAGAAGCCTTGAAAGCATAGGTATCAAACGCAATATTTCTAAAGAAAACATTCCTAGAGAAGAAACTCCTGTAGCGCATCGAAAACTGGAGGCTGGAGTTAGGACTCCGACTCCACGAGCTGAACGTATTCGATCACAGAGTGGACCAAAACCACTTGGTGCAAATCCCGTAGACCTTCAGTTAGACCCATTCCAATCAGCTGCTTACTACTGATAGGATAAGTTTGTCGGGGGTTTTACGTTGTTAGTCTTTCGATGTATAATATTTATTGTTATCATCAGTATGTGATTTCAAATCAATGACTGTATTTTCTACTATATCGCTTGCTTTTTTTCCCGTCCCTAATTCCGATGGTTCATCTTCTTCCAACTTTTACGTTAAACTGTGAAAAATTTTCTGTCAGGTCACGCTTTGTCTCTCTGTGTGTGTTATAATAGGAAGAATTGTAACCAGAAACATGTAATTCATCCATCTCAATTTTCATCAAATTATTGACTATCGTTTTACTTAATAGAGCAGAACTATCACGATTTTACAGACAGAGAACAAAAGATCTTTCATCATCGATAATTTTCTCGTTTACGAATGTTGTTTTCATTTTATGTCTCGACTCATGCGGTCTATCAGTAATCCCATTATTATATTCACTCACTCGAGTGAAATTCTTGCTTGCATAAAGTAACATTCACAGAAAACAAACTGTCAAATTGAGTAGACCGTACTATCACATATTTTGTGATTTAAGCCTCAAGTAGGTAAGAATGATCTCATTTCTGTTTGACCCATGATTCCCATGAGTTACATTTATGTACATTTCGAGAGGGTTCAGGGAATTCACAGTTTCCCCCTTACTATGTGATCTTGCAAATTATCTGTGTTTTATGCTATTTTATGCTTTATTTCGATGCGTATGTTACATTCAGTTGTTAGATTTTTTCTTTCGTTTTTCTCTTTGTCTATAAAATCAAAGTGATATTTTTGTTTGAGCACCAATGTGATGATACATTGTTCATAATCATAAAAATATTTAATTTGATTGTTTTAGTATAATTAGTAGTGCTATTATTTTGCTAGGTGATGAGTTGTAGAATTTAGTAGTATTTCTGATTTGAAAGAAACAGATAATGATGAACTGAGTGTGCCCCAATTAATTGTGCATGCAACTCACACTTATGTCCTTAACGAAACTTTCTTCACACCTGACCCCTACTGACTGCTTAGTCGTTTCAAAGGCATTGTATTTTCGCTGGACTTTTCGACCTTTTAAATAAACCAATCCACCATCGAAAACTAAATGTTGTGGTTTAGCCTTCACGTTTTCTATTTATTTAAGTATATTAATCCTGGTACAACACTGCTCCGAAAAATGCACCACACAAAGGAAGCGATATTGTGTAGAAATAAACAAGAGTAAGGTTGTACAGTCAATAATTAAATATGGATGATGCGTTGGGAAGATGTGCTTTGATAACTGCGCTTCATTCGATATGCAGTTTTATCCCAAAATGATACCATTTTGAAAAGAAACATTGGTTTTTCCTCAAAATTCCCAGTGATTGTGGGGAAAGTTTAAAGCGTCCTCAAATTTGGAATGTTGAATGATCAAGTGATATATAATTCAAAAATGAAGAATATTTGAATATTCGATGGGGATTTTTAAACTGCTGATACATAATTTCCCGTGGTGAATGTTTCTTGGAAGTTCGTTTGTATGTAACCACCACAAATTTGTCCATGCGATAAACAGATATTCATGTGTTTGCTTGCTCTTATGATTTGAAGTATCAATCCAGTTGGCTTTGAGAGTCATCTTCATGTCTTACGTAGTTGACAGCGGCTGTAAATGTTCCACAACAATGATATACTGCAATTAAACCCGTAGACTCTAGTCATACCAGTGTATGATGTAGGTATTTGCTTAAGCATGTGATAAGGAGAGAGGTGAAAAGACTGGTTTCATTTCAACCGAATTGAATGGCAGACATTCTTTTTGAAGTACTTGAGTTTGGATGTTTACATGTTAGTAGATATGGATTCCTTGTTTTTGTATACTTAGCTAGTATTTTGACGTTTGAAATCCTTCAGATGTATTCGAAAACCAAGTGAATTGTGTCTTCTTCCTTTACTAGTGCATATAACCGTTCACTTGACAACTGTCTTTTACTTGTATCTTTGAAAAATGCATGCCGTGACTGGTCACTCTTCTATTTCGAGGGATGTTTCGATCGATTTAACTAAACAGCTTGGACAGTTCATGCCGGACAAACCTTTCTTGGTTTGTAATAATTTCCAGGTTGCCTTTCATTAATTTTAACACGTACGGTTGTCATAGGCCTACAGCTTTGTAGACTGCTCACACACTGTGTGCATTTTGCAGGTCGTGGTAATTTTGATCTAAAAAGTAAGTATAGATTTGTATTGAAATATACATTCGATATGAAGCAAAAACCTTTGAGAAGAGAAAGCGTTAAAACTGTACATTACAGGCTACATTTCAGATCAAAGTTCGTTAATTGCCAATCTACATTCAATGTATACCGACTGGTATTCTATGAAGTCTTTCGAACTGATTCACAGCCATCTATGTGGTAGTTTACGGATGATATGTAATCCATGGACCAGGATATTGTCATCGTAATAATAGGAGAACTTAAAGCTGATTCTTTTACAGCCGTCATATTTTGGTGATGTTATAGATCATACAGAGTCACAGTCTAAAATAAATGGTTGTTACTGGTTTCAAAACTGTGAAGACGAGGGTAGCGGTAGCGTTATCTGGGTTAGGAACTGCATACAAGCCCAACTTCGGAGGAACCAAAATACCCCAGAAAGATTGACAACAGAAGCGGTGTAAATATGGACTCATAATAACAACCTGAATAGAAAAGATGATGTGTCAACTAGCCACTCCTTGTCAAATGATCAATAAAAAGTAATGGGGTCACATCTCTATTCAGCCTGCTTATTTCACATGCACTGTTATTCGCACAGAAATCAATTTAAATAGTTTATCATTGCTATTATGTATTTACTGGTTCGCATTTCAAATACACATTGACGTTTCAAAAATGTTTTCAATATTTACTCTTAATAAACAATAAAAAAATTTATTTACTAATATCAACTATTAATAACTTAAACATAAACTCATTCATTTATTTTCACAGAACGGATTTTCACATGACTCACATCAAACTGACTCGTGTTATCCTACTTACTAATGTCAACATCCAGATATGGATGAGTAAGCACAGTATAGGTTTGGTTTGATTGTCAAACATATATTCTCCAGTAATTTGATTTTTATTCTTACCATGAAGAAGACCGGACGAGTTTGCTTGACGAAATGATGAATTGTTTAAATTTCAATCACTGAGAATATTTCAAAATAGTTTTCGCAAATAATGTCTTCTCTAAGATCAGCGCCCAATTTAACTCATACTAATCGTTCAAACATCGTTGACTTCACATAAATCTATTTCGAGCTTGAAGTTTTGCAGATTGTTTTTCAGTTCCCTCTAAATTAATAGTAAACTGAGGTATTTCCGCAGCCTAATAAGGGTTTTCAGGACAAGACACAATTTTTAGTATGTTCTAAATCTATTTTTTGAGTACTTATTTTCAGCGTTATAAACTTCTGTCCATTTCCAATTAAAAACTTATTTCACAATTTATGCCTTACCATAGTTACCAAAAATAGTTCTAATCCACCTAGCTGTCAAATTGCCGTCGCCTGTGATATAAGACAATAATTAGAAAGAAACAACTTACGATTAGAAAAAATTGACCGACGATATGGTGCAGATTTAGAGAATACAACAGCCAATATAATATATTGATAGACAGATACGGAGAATATGGCCGTATTTTCGTAATTTTTTAATTCATAATCTTCATGATAAGTAAACAGTGGTAAATACCTTCAAAGAAATAAACGATAATGATGATAGTAATCAAAAGAGTCTCATGAAGCGACAACATGCTTTACAATGAAAAGACCGCTAAATCAATCCATAAAAGTCTGTCCACACAGTAATACTACCTAGCGGGTCATCGCTAACAAGATGTTACGAGTAAATAACAGTAGTCCATATGTTCCTTTAGCAATATTCCAATAAGTCTTAAGTAATTTTCGAAGCAACATAATTCATCGATTTCATTACAGTTATCAAGTTAATGCACTAATAGGTGTTTAAAACAGATATTAACGCAACAACCAATACAAACGGATGCTACAGATAAACATCACAACAATAGAAACATATTCACTAACCATGGTTGTAGTCGAGTAAACACAAAGACTGCAAATTGTACAAGACCACAAGTGAGTAACTGCAAACCCAATGATAACAAGGTCACAGTTGACACTAGTCGCATCCCAGGAGGTTCCACCGAGAGACGAGGATACGCCGAAGTATAACCAACTAATGAAAAAAGTCAATACATTTTTTTAAAAAGATAACCAGTAAACAATATTCATGAAATTACGGAGAATTACCATCGTATCATTTAAATAATTTAGGCTAGACCACTTGCATGAAAAACACTTTGCTTCATGAAACTTGACGTTTTGCATACAAACAAACGTTCTACACCAATCAGATCACATAAATGATTTTCTCGTTTTGCAACTATGTCTCAACTTGACACGGTTCTCTTTCAGTCTTCTTCGTGCTAATGTTACCTACCTGGTAGTCATGTAAAAGTATATCTGCTGTACATGTTTAATCGACTTCTCAGGACAATCGACAATCCAACATGAACAGCATTCAACAGTATTGCAGTATAGAGAAATTATGCCGTTGAAAGTAATTACATTCGTATTTACCACATGAACTTCAATGAGATCTATCACAACAGAGTAGTCGTTCTACCTGAACACTGACAATCATATACAATTTTTAAGTTCATGTTCAAATCCAATTGAATTTAGTGACGTGTCGATGAAAGATAATAATGTGGCTTGGATTAGCTCATGTTTCAAAAATAAAATGAACTCAACCGCGATAAGTAGACAGTGTCTGCTATTTAGAACATGAATATATTCCAGGGATTATTTTCGATAAGAGAGAAATTCTGCTGAACAAACCCAGTTGTAGTCGTGAATTTTCAATGATTTCCGAATGGATAGAGAGAAACTAAGGTGAAATTAAGGAAGCACAAATCAATCTGCTTATCCACATAAGGTGCGATAGTTCAAGTAAGGTCATCTATTCGTGAGGCTTTAAGTGAAATATCCAATTGTAGATCAGAATAAATTATCCGTCTGAAAAATCAATCAAGTGAATGTTGTCAGCATGATGAAAACAAGGATTGCAAGTAGACAAAAGTGAGTTCTCAGGTTCTCTGTTGTCTACATCTAAACATCCAACATAAGAGATGAGGAGAATATTTGACCGAAATTTTCTATCGGTATGGGGTTGAGAAGATCGTTGAATGTTTTTCCATATCACGCTCGTGATCGAGTGTCCTGCGTTCGATTATTGGTTGCAGAATCATGAATGAGCACTGTTAAGGAGCCCCATACTAGAATGAAACGAACATCCAGTGTTCCTAGGTTTTCAACATTACCTCAATTTTCAACATTTCTTGCACAAGTGTTACCGACTTATTGAAGAATACGCCTGATATTATACATGTCCTCACATTCACGTAATACAGTAAAAATACATAGAAACATATCGACAAATTGTTTAAATTGAACTTTGAAATCCACCATGGTATTCATACACAAACACACAGTTTAAAGAATAATGGTAACAGTAAGTAACCCACTAAATATTTTCAGTTTTCTCCGACGGTTGAACAAACAAACAGAAAACCAATAAGATGGGTAGTGAAGAAAAACAAACAAATTCATCAAAGAAACTTCCAATAATAGTATTTTTAAAAACAGATAGAATAAATATCAGAACGCCGACATACACTAGTCAGTGAATAAATAAATACTTTCTCAACTTACACGTGATACCCAAAGTGGTGATGACAAAGAAGTCGATAAACATATATTGCAGGTCAGAAATATTACTGCTAACCTGGTGTGAAAAATGAAAAACAAAAATTGTAAATAAAGTAACACTACAACTACCAAGTACAACAAAGAAAACAAGTGCTTAATTTGTAATCGGAATTTATTATTTTCAGAGAGGCATTTTGTGGATATTATGGTAACAGTGGGTGCGCACTACTCAGGAATCCCATGCTAGCACGAAACGGCCGTCCAGTGCTTTCAGGTTTTCCATAGGGGTTTAGCTTCAATTGACTCATGAATTCAACTAATAAATTTATTATTTTGCTTCGTTATCAAATT